AGATCCTGTAATGCCCTGCAGTGCAGTGTCCCCTGTTCACGAGAAATTGGTGCCTCAAGGGGTCTCCTATGTGTGTTGCATGCGCCCTACTTCTGGGGTGGAACCATGTCTGCCTTTAGTCCAGCTGTCTGCAATGGTTCTCTCTGACTGTTGTGGGCAGAACTTTGTCCCTGTGCTGTTAGTGAGCCAGTCTGGGGTCACCTTGGGCTTGAGCTAAGTCAGACTAGGCATTTGCTGGAGCTGTGGTAGCACTGAACTGTAAGGTGCTTTGCGGTGTTGTCCTCTGAGAAGCTTTCATTGGTGGGTGGGGCCTGCAGTCAGATCAGATGTCTGCCCCTAGCCCACTGCTGGGGTCTAAATCAGACAAATGTGTATGGTTATCTTCCCCTCTCCCTGGGACAGGAGTCACTTTGGAATGGTGCTGGCCTCAGTCAGGGATGCTTGCACATTGCCAGGCTTGGGGCGCTTCTTTGGATGCACTCCTCCTAAGGGTGGGTCTACAAGAGAATACAGGTGAGTGCACGTTGTTAGAAAATTGTGTGCTGGTCTGCTGCAGGAGGGGACCTGTGGCCTGGAGAACTGCCAAGGGCAGGTCTATAGAAGAATGCAGAGGTGGGGCATGAGGTGCCAGCAAGGTCACTGCTGGTCCACTGTGGGAGGGACCTGGAGCCACTTTAGAAAACTGCCTTACCAGATTGGAGGGGGGAGGTTTGAGGAACAGCATAAGGGCAGGGCGTGCTGTTAGCAAGCTAGGCAGGAGTGTTCAGGCTGCACTGGTTCCTGAAGGTGTCTATGTATCTAGTATGGGGGTCTGGGAAGGGAAATGGTGCCTGCCAATCCCTTTGTTCTTGGAGAAGTCTCCCAAAGATCCCTCCCCTCCAGTACATGCTCTGAGATTGGTAAATAAATCTCCTTCCTGTGTACCCCAGGCATTTTTCAAACTGCCACTTCCATGCTGCATCTCAGTGGGGCTGTTTGTTGTGATTTATCTTTAAGGGTGGGAATTCAGTTTTCTATTGCTCTCCACCCATCCCAGAGCCCAACCCACTGATTTCTAAAGCCCCACTAACTGTAAGAACTCACAAAGTTAAGACCATCTGGTTTTCAAAGCCAATGTTGTGGGGATTCATCTTCCCAATGTGGGTCCCTCTTGCCTGGGGTGCCTGGTGAGGGGTCTTTTCCTTTCCCCTCTCTATGCCTGTGGTGTCCCTCCCTCCTATGGATCAGTTTGGCTCCTGACCATGTCTCTGCCCTTTCTATCCTTTTCAATGTGGCCTCTTCTCTACATTTAGCTGTGGAGAGTGTGTTCTGCCAGTTTTCAGGTTGTTTACTGGGTTATTTGCCCTGATGTGGGTGTTATCCATGTGTATCTGTGGAACAAAGTGTGCTTAGGATTCTCCTATTCTGCCATCTCTCATTGTGGTTTTGTTTGCATTTCCCTGATGATTAGTGATGTTGAAGATTTTTTCATGTGTGCATTGGTCATCTGTATGTCTTCTTTGGAAAAATGTCTTTTCGTGTCCTCTGTGCATTTTTTAACTGGATTGTTTGGGTTTTTTGGTGTTGAGTTGTATAAGTTCTTTATATATATTTTTGATATTAACACCTTATCAGATATATCATTTGCAAATATCTTCTCCCATTCAGTAGGTTGCCTTTTGTTTTGTCAATGGTTTCCATCACTGTGCAAAACTTATTATTTTGGTGTAGTCCCAATAGTTTATTGTTGCTTTTGTTTCCCTTGCTCAAGGAGACATATCTAGGAAAATGTTTTTATGACTGATGTCAAAGAAATTACTGCCTATGTTTTTATTAAGAATTTTATGATTTCCAATCTCACATTTAGGTCTTAGTCCATTTTGAGTTTCTTTCTTTTTTTTTTTTTTAAGATTTTATTTATTTGACAGAGACAGACAGCGAGAGAGGGAACACAAGCAAGGGGAGTGGGAGAGGGAGAAGCAGATCTCCCGCGGTGCAGGGAGCCTGATGTGGGGCTCCATCCCAGGACCCTGGGATCATGACCCGAGCCGAAGGCAGACGCTTATTGACTGAGCCACCCAGGCGCCCCTTGAGTTTATTTCTGTGTATAAGGTAGTAAAATAGTCCAGTTTCATTCTTTTGCATGTAGGTGTGCAGTTTTCCCAGCACCATTTATTTTTATTTTTTAAGGGGGGAGGAGGGTTAGAAGAAGATGGAGAGAGAGAATCTCAAGCAGACTCCATGCCCAGCATGGAGCCCAACTTGGGGCTCAATCCCACAGCCCTGAGATCATGACCTGAGCTCTGAAATCAAGAGTCAATGCTTAACTGACAGAGCCACCCAGGTGCCCCTAAAAGCACTAAGTTTTTACTAACCCCGCACATTTTATGTATATGATGTCATACTTTACATTTAAAAAAAAATTGTGTATCCTTTGGCTGATTTTTATAGATATAATTGATTTTACTCCTTTTGTGCGTTACCTCCATACTGGTTTTATAAGTGATTAATATACTTTTACTATATGTTTGAATTTACTTGTGAAATTTTTTTCCTTTCATAGTTTTCTTACTCCTGATTATGGCATTTTTTCCCACTTAAAGAATTGCCTTTAACATTTCTTATAAGGCAGGTTTAGTGGTCATGAATTCTTTTAACTTTGGGAAACTTTCTCTCTCCTTCAATTCTGAATAATAACAGCTTTGCTGAGTAGAGTATTCTTGGTTGCAGGTTCTTTTTTCTTTCAGCACTTTGAATATGTTATGCCACTCTCTTCTGGCCTATAAAGTTTCTGCTGAAAAATCAGCAGATAGGTTTATGGGATTTCCCTTGTATATACTGTTTTCTTTTACTCCTTTTAAAATTCCCTCTTTATCACTATGTTATGCCATTTTAATTACTATGTGTGGACCTCCTTGCATTAATTTTGTTGGGTGCTCTCTCTGCCTCCTGGATCTGGATGTCTCTTTCCTTTCTCAGATTAGGGAAGTTTTCAGCTATTATTTTTTTTCAAATAAATTTTCTGCCTCCTCTCTCTCTTCTGGAATCCTTACAATGCATACGTTATTATGCTTGATTGATGACATCACTGAGTGCCCTTAACCTATTCTCATTTTCTATTATATTTTTTGTTTGCTTTTCAGCTTGGTTGCTTTCCAATACATCTGTCTTCCAGATCACTGATCTGTTCTTCTGCCTCCTCTAATCTGCTCTTGATTTCCTCTAGTGTATTTTTCATTGCAGTTACTGAGTTCTTCATCTCTGGTTCTGTTTTATATTTTGTATCTCTTTATTGAAGGTCTGAGATCCTACACTAATTTCTCAAGTCCAGTGAGTATCCTTATGACCACCAATTTGAGTTGTTTTTCATGTGTATTGCTTATCTCTGTTTCATTTGGCTCTTTTGCTGTGGTTTTATACGTTTTTTCATTTGGCACTTATTCCTCTGCCTCCTCATTTTGTCTAACTCTGTTGTTGTTTTTTTCTATGTATTGTAAATGTCAGCTACATCTCCTGATCTTGAAAGTAAGTAGTGGCCTTATGAAGAAAAGGTCCTGTGGTACCCAATGGTGCAATACTCCCTGTTCACCAGAGCCAGGCACTTCAATGGCATCTAACCTTTGTGGGTTGTGTTCACCCCACTGTTGTTGCTGAACCACGTTTCCCTATAGTCAAGTCCATTGCAATGGCCTTCTTTGCCTGTTTTATGTGCACCAGGCAGGGTTTGGCCTCTGTGCTGTTAAAGGGACAGTCTGGGGCTGCTAAGGGCTTGTAGTTAGGTGATGTCAGCATTCAAACCAGATGCCCCCTCGCAGCCGATCTGCTGGGGCTGTCATTGCACAGAGCCGTAGGTCATTCTCCTTTCCTTGTCCCCTGAGAGGCTTCATTGGTGGGTGGGGCTTGCACTCAGATCAGATGCCTGCCCCCAGTCAATCTGCTGGGGCTGCTGGCTCACTGATCGGCAGGGCACTCTCACTGTGCTGCCAGCCATAAGGTTCAGCTGTTGGGACTGTGGGTACACTGGCATGTTTTGTGGATATCTTCCTCTTTCCCCAGGGCAGGAGTCACTTTGGAGGGATGTCTTTGGAGTTATGGCAGGTTGAACTGGGTCTCTCTGCAGGGGAATGCAGGAGCAGGGCACTAGTCAACAAGATAGGTGGAAAGCATTCATGCTGCTTCCTGCAAGTGTCTGGCCAACAAGGTTGGGGGTAAGCAGGGAGGAAGAGAAATGGCACCCACCACCACTTTTGTTCTCTAACGGTCTCCTAAAGATCTCTGCCCCTCCAACATACATTCTGATATTAGTAAATAAATCTTCCTGTATACCCCAGGTGCTTTCAAACAGCTGCTTCTATGCTGTGTCTCAGCAGGATTATTTGTTATGCTGGCTCCTAAAGGGTGGGGACTCAGTTTCCTACTGTCCTCTAGCTCTCTAGCTCTCCAGCTCTCCCAGAGTTAAGCCTACTGATTTTTAAAGTACCAGAGTTAAGCCCTGTTGATTGTAAAGACTCATGAATTTAAGCCGCACTGGTTTTCAAAGTTAAATGTTATGGAGACTTGTCTTTCCAGTGTGGGTCCTTCATGCCTGGGGTGCCTGGCATGAGGTCTGATCTTCTGGCTTCTTGGGGTATCTCTCCTGTTTGTGGTTGGTTTTGCTGGGGTTTGGGTTCCCAACCATGTCTCTGCCACTCCTGCACTTTTCAGTGTGGCCCCTCTCTATGAAAGTCAGTTCTGCTAGTCTTTGAGTCACTTTCAAAGATAGTTGCACAGATATGGCTGTTAGTTCAGTGTGTCCATGGGGTTGAAATGAGCTCAGGATCCTCTTACTACACCATCTTCCCAGAATCAAATCAACTCTGGAGTTTTAAATATCAAGTTTTTCTAAGGGAAGATATACATAGCCTCTGCTGATGATTCAGGAATTAATTATAACCCCTCTCTGAATGTGGTTCAGGCAATCTAATACACTGGTGCCCTGCTTATTTAACTCTGAGATAATTGTGGGTTTTATGTTTGAGCAGGAAAAAGTGAAGCAAGAACTCAAATACTTACGAGATCAAGAAAGCCATAAGATTAAAAATCATTTTGAAACTCTAAAGAACTTAGAAAATGAAATCTATGTGCATGACTTAAAAGTAAATGTTTTGCTCCTGGAAAATGAAAAATTAAGAAAAGTAAGTTCAAGGGCACTTCACTTTGCATGATGGTTTTGGTTAATTGCCTAGACCTATAATAGTTACAAGACAAAAGGAGATTATATCTCTTTTTTTTTTAAGATTTATTTATTTATTTATTTGAAAGAGAGAGAGAATGAGAGAGAGAGAGCACATGAGAGGGGGAGGGTCAGAGGGAGAAGCAGACTCCCTGCTGAGCAAGGAGCCTGATGCGGGACTCGATCCCGGGACTCCAGGATCATGACCTGAGCCGAAGGCAATTGCTTAACCAACTGAGCCACCCAGGCGCCCCGGAGATTATATCTCTTAAAACTTTTGAAATAAAGACTATATATGAAACAGTGCACAAATCATGAGTGAAACACGTAATGAATACACATGGGCAACCAGCACCCAGATCAAGAAACAAAGCATTAACAGTATCCAGATATCTTCTATGTCCTTTCCTGTCACTAACCTCCCCACAAGGTAAAGTAACAGTATATTGGCTTCTAAGACCAAAGACTAGTTTTGTCTGTTTCTGAACATTATATGTATAGAATGATACAATGTGCACTCTTGCTTAATACTTTGTTTGCAAGGTACATCTTTATTATATTGAATGCAGTTATGGTTTGTTTGGCCTTAGTGCCGTATACAGTATTCAAGTGTATAACTTATACTCTCTTGCTGGGGGTTTAGAGAATTTCTAGCTGGGGCTATTACAAATAGAGTTGCCATGAACATTCTAGTACATGTGTTTTCAGGAACATATGTGCATATTTCTGTTGCATATACCCCTCAAGTGGAATCGCAGAGCCATAGGGATGTGGACCATCCACTCTCATGCACAGTGCCATCTCCCAAAGAAGTTGCAGAAATCGCCACTCCCAGCAGGGTATGTGAGAACACCACTGGTTCCACATTCTCACCAAACTTTGGTTATTTTTTTTTTTTCCACTTAACCATTCTGGAGAGTGTGTAGTGGTATCCCATTGTGGTTTTAGTTTGCATTTTCCTGCTGATCGATGAAACATCTATTTATATGTTGGTGGCCATTTTGTATACCTCTTTGTGAAGTACCTGTTCAAGTGTTTTGCTCATTTAAAAATTAGGTTGTCTGTCAGTTTTGTATTGATTGTATCGTTTTTTTCAGTAAACCACAATGACCTCAAGGTGAGGATCTGTATCCACGTATCCCATTTTGCACAACGGCTCACATGGAAAAGGGATTCAGTCCCATGTTATGCTCACAATAACTCACTAATGTGGATAATATATTATGTCCCTTTTATAGATGAGGAAACTGAGACTCTATATTTTTAATAATTTTTAATAGCTAGAAAAATAAAAACAGTCCAATGGCAATAAGACTCTAAGTAAGGGAAAAATGTTTTACCTGTCTGGGTACTCTTTTTCATCCAGTAAATGGCAGCAGTTATCCACCAATATTATGTGCTTTTGGCAGAATTGAAATGGCATAAGAGGTACTAATGTACTTTGAAAAGGTAAATGTGCTCCAGAGCCCAGGTACCAGCATCACTAACCTGCACATGTGCAATACATCTTCATTCTTCTAGCCCTTGAAACAGTCTTATAAGGCATTTCATTCGCCCATGGAAATATTCCACAAGATTGTCTTCCTATCAAGATGACATAGATTATTTATTAAAATACTTGGAATTTTTTTTGCTACTTTGGTAATGGATAAGCAAATGGATGACTATGTGAAAAATTGATTCTAAAAGTTCTGTTTTCTAATTTATTGTCCATCTACTAGGTCCTGAATGATGCTATGCTGTTATCTTATTCACTCCCTACTCTGTTCTGCGGGTTACATTGCTTCTCTCAGCAGACATTTTAAGCACCCACTGAGTCCTTGGGGAAGGCTCAGTGAATACAGAGATCAGTAAGACACCGCCCCAAGTTCTTAGAAAGCTCATCACCTAGCTGAGGAAATGAGAAAATAAATGGATAAATTAGAATTCAGTATGTTTACACATTTGAGAGTTATGGGAAACCAGCTGAAGTAGGCAAGTCTACAAACTGTGGTCCACATTCAAACAGGGCAGGAATGATGACTTTGACTTGGCCTACAGGGGTTTTTACTCTGGTTTACTACAAAACCAGTCAACAAGCCATGCAGACTGACACAAGATCAAGGCCTCATGAGTAGACCCTATAACCTGCTTATAAACAGTTCTATGTCTCCTGTGGTACTAGATGTGATTTCTAAGATTTTTTTTTTTATCAGTGATTTGTAGTGTTTGACTATTTCCCTCTTGAAACTGAGCCAGTGCCGTGTTTATATCCAAAGCCCATGCTTTCAGAGTTCCCAGAGACTTTAGAGTTTAGCATTGCCTGAGCATTGGGTGGACAGAAAAGAAAGCAACGACTTTAATACTAACCAAACCAGGGGCGCCTGGGTGGCTCAGTTGGTTGAGTGACTGCCTTCGGCTCAGGTCATGATCCTGGAGTCCCGGGATCGAGTCCCGCATCGGGCTCCCTGCTCGGCAGGGAGTCTGCTTCTCCCTCTGACCCTCCCCCCTCTCATGTGCTCTCTCTCCGTCTCTCTCAAATAAATAAATAAATAAAATCTTTAAAAAAAAAAAAAATACTAACCAAACCACTACTACCACCATCTCCCAGCCCAGTGACACATCTGAATGGAGTGAGCAATTCTGTGGGGTCTCCAGACTTGAGAGATCCTCTCTCTGAAGTCTTATGTGAACTCCTCCAGTCTGGAAGCATGGCTGCCTTGGTACATTTCCTGCATACATATTTTGCATACAGAACACTTTTTTGTTTGTGGGCACAATGCATTTAGGCAGAATACCTTTTAATTTCTTTTTGTGGCAAATTATATTCAGAATGCTATGTTTATTTGGGTGCTTAAGTGTTTACTGGGAAGCCGGATCCTTTATCTCCCTCACCAGAATGTAGGCTTGACAAGGGCTCTGCTCACCACTATAACCCTTGTCCTGAGAAATGTCAGCAGCGTGAAGAATCAATAGATGTGTGCCAAATGACTGCATGGATAATTAATTTACGGTAACTAAACTGCTTAAAGCGATCACATGTCTTTCATTTCCAGTATATTGCATACATGAAGAACAAGATAGAGCAATACAGAAAAGGAGAAGACCACCTCAAGTCCATGTCAAGTGACCTGTCTTGTCAACTGACGGCTCATCAGAGTAAGTGATGTGTTAGGGGTGATCTGAACATATAAAAAATTTTTTTGTTTATTTAAATAAATTTTACTGACTTGCATACAATAAAATGAACCCATCTAAAGTTCAACGAGTTTTGATAAATGTATGTACCACTGTCACCACTGCCACTTCAACCAAGATAGAGAACATTTTATCCCTGAAAAATTCTCTTATGTCCCTTGGTAGTTGGTTTCCCACTCTACCTCCAGTGCCTGGAAACCATTGATCTGCTTTCTTTCTTTCTTTTAAGGTTTTATTTTTTTATTTTAGAGAGATAGAGAGCACAAGAGCGGGGGGAAGAGCAGAGAGGGAAGGAGAGGAAGGGGGAAAGAATCTCAAGCAGACTCCACGCTGAGAATGGAGCCTGATGTAGGGGCTCAGTCTCACACCCTGATATCATGACCTGAGCCAAAACCAAGAGTCAAAGCTTAACCAGCTGAGCTACCCATGTGCCCCTGATCTGCTTTCTGTCACTAAGGATTAGATACAAATGGAATGATGGAATACTCACCCTTTCGTACCTGGATTCTTGCACTCAGGAGACTTTTTTTAAGATCCATTCATGTTGCACGTTATCATTGCTTTGTTGCTTTTTATAGCTGTATGGTAGTATTCCATTATGTAGCTGTACCGTATTTTGTTTACCCATCCACCATTTGAAGGACATTTGGATTGTTTCCAGTTTTTGGTTACTATTTGCTTACATGTATTTTTGTGAATATTTGTTTTCATTTCTCTTGGGTAAATACTGAGGAGTGGAATTGCTGGGGTGTATGGTTAGTGTATGTTTAACTTTATAAGAAACAGCCAAAACAGTTTGCCAGAGTAGGTGTGCAAATTCCTCATCCCACTAGCAATGGGATACTCCACATCCTCACCAACATTTAAAATTGTCCAAACACTTAAAAATTGTTAACATTTAAGCCATCTTAATGGTATTTCATTGTGATTTTTATTTGCATTTCTCTGATGACTGATGCTGTTGAGTATTTTTTCATGTGCTTTTTGGCTGCTTTTATCTCATCCTTTGTGGAGTGTCTTGAACCTATTATCTATTGCAGCATAACAAATATTACAGATCATTTACTTTGCTCCTAAATTGGTCATTTGGTCGGAGCCTGGTGGATACCACTCGTGTCTGCTCCACATGACATCAGCTGGGGCAACTTGATGGTTGGGGGTAACTCAGCAGCTGAGGACTGGAGTCATCTGAAGACACATCTACTCACTGTGACTGGTGTTGCTGTTGGCTCACAGCCAGATTCTCCATGTAGTTGCTTGGCCTGCTGTGTTCCAAAAGCTAAAATCCCAGGTACAAGGGGAGGGGACATAGACGCCACCACTAATGGGAGGGGTATCAGCATCACGTTGTGGGAAGAGCATGTAGGATGGAGTATATTGTGGGGCCATCTCTGGAAAATACAGTCTGCCACATTTCTGTCCAAATCTTTGGCTCATTACTTTGAGTTATTTGTGTTGTTAAAATCTTTATGTATTCTGGAAATGAATCCTTTTTCAATATGAGGCCTGACTTCTCATTTTCTTAATACTGTCTTGAAAAGAGCAAAAGTTTTTCCTGTGGAAAAGTCACTTTATCGATTTCATCTTTTAAGGGTAGTACTTTTTGTGTCCAAAGACATTTTTGCCTAAGCCAAGTTCTCAAAGATTTTCTCCTATGTTTTCTTTATAAGTTTTTAGTTTTAGCTTTTATGTCTAGTTCTCCAATTCATTTTAAGCTCACGTTTTTGTACGGTGTGAAGTAAGAGTTGAATTTCATGTTTTCTCTTATGTATATCCAGTTGTTCTAGCATCATTTTTGAAAAGCCTATCTTTTTAACATTGTACTACCCGAACTTTTTCAAAAATCAATTTTATAAGTCTGTTCCTTATTCTGACTTTATACAAATACCACACTGTCCTGATTACTGTAGTTTCACGTTCAGCCTGGAAATCAGGTAGCATAAGTTCTCCATGTTTGTGCTCCTCTCTTAGAATGATTTTGGCTATTATAGGTCCCTTGATTTTCATACGAGTTTTAAAGTCAGCTTATTAATCTATAATTGCATACCTGCTGGGATCTTAATTGGGTTTGTGTTGAATCTGTAAATCAGTTCGAGAATTGACATCTTAAAATTAAATCTTCCAATCCAAGAATACAGTATACATCTCCATTTATTTAGAACTTATTTTTCTTAGCAAGATTTTGCCGTTTTAGGTGCTGTATTAGGGGTCCTCAAGACCATCCTTAGGCTCACTGATCAGCTAGGATTCACCAGGCTCAAGTTGTTATTACACTGAAGGATACAGAGTAAAATCAGCAAAGGGAAAAGGTGCATGGGGCAAGTGTGGAGGAAACCAGATGCAAAATTGCAGGTGCTGTCACCCAGTGTAGTTGCACAGATGCACTTAATTTCCCTAGGAACGATGCGTGACAAAACCTGCAGAGTGGTGCCAAAGCAGGGGCACCCGGGCTTGGGCATCCAAGGTACTTGTTGGAAGCTGTTGGTCATGAAAATGTGCAGCGCCTGTGGGGTTTCCCTTTTATGCTGTTAGGATGGTAAATTGCACCGATTCATTTTTGAATGTTAAACCAATCTGCCGAGATAAAACCCGCTTGTTCAAAAGCTATTATTGTTTTTATATGTTGCTGGATTCAATTTGCTAATCTTTGTGCAGATTTTTGTGTCTGTGTGCAAACCTGCCTTGTTCTGCTTGCACTTGGGTCTGGAAATTGCCTCCTGCCGAAAGCCGGGTGATCATAAGGTTTGCCTCACTCGTCACCCTTCTTTCAGGTATCCCACCCTGTGCTGCCCATTCTCCAGGGCCTGCAAACTGGACAGTAAAACAGATGTATTTGGGGCGCCTACTTGGCTCAGTCAGAAGAGCATGTGACTCTTGATCTCAGGGATGTGAGTTCAAGCCCCACATTGGGCATGAAGCCTACTAAAAAAAATAAATAATAAAATATTTAATATATTTCCTCCTTGTTTAGAGTGGGAAGGCAAGTCTGATCTAGTTATTCTGTCATTTTGGAAGTAGAAAGTTTTAGATAAACACAATTTTTGAATAACAAATAGCCTTACTTTCATAAAAATTTTCACATTATTTCTGTAACCTTCGCCTTTTAAAAATCTTTGTTTTAGCACAGTATTTGGATTTGTGGGCTGAATTTCAGACTACAGTTAAGGTGAGCTTTTTTTGTTTTTCTCCATAAATATAACATTCCTAAAAATATTCACCTACCTAGTAAGTGTGTGTGTGTGTGTGTGTGTGTGTACACGTGCACCTGCACAAGGTAGGAGGTCAGGATTGAGGGGGAGTGACAGTACAACCATCGTATCTTCACACACGTGTGCTTTGTATTGTTAAAAAACCAAAGTTCAACTGAGTAAATTTTAAATATCTTATTGGCTTTATTCAATGATTCACGAATCAGGCAGCAACCAAGCTAGCAGATTAAAAGGTGCTCTGAAGTGCTATACAAAACAGAGGACTTTTATAGACAGAAGGGAGCGGGAACCCGGAAGTTATACTAAGCACAAAAAGCAGGTTGGTTATTGCAGGATTACGTTCCTTTAGGGGATGGCAGGGATGATTACGCGGATGACCTAACTAGTGCTGATTAGGTGATTCCTGACTGACTGGTGTAAGAGTCCATTTCTGAGACAGCCAAAACTGTAATTAAATCAATTCTGTTCAGTGATGTGAGGCTTAGCCTCAGTGACTCCATTTTGAACTGTTGTCTTAGTTTTAGTGGTGCCAAATGTCACTATGAAATCTTAACCCTTTGGGAGATTGTCTTCCTACTCTACCAATTTGGTTAAAGAGAATGACATCTCGCCCCCACCTGCAAACACAAATTGAACACACACTATTTTAGGACAAAGTTGTCAGGTCTGAAGTGCATCTGTCCTCCATGTTTTACCATCCCTGCTCCTTCTCCACCACTCCCTACTATAAAGTCTGGTAGGCTGGAGTTTAAATCCTGGCTTTGCCACTTTCTGAGTATTTAAAGTTTACATATGATCCTGGCTCTTAGCCTTTAACCTTTTTCAGAAGAAGCTACTGAGGTTCAGAGTTTCAGTAACTTTGCCCAAGACCAAACAGTTAATGAACTTATGGGGATTTAAACCTCAGATCCAGCTTGGTTCCAAAGTTTTTCCTCTTCAGCTGTAAGCCATGCTGAATATGCTGTGCAGTTCCGTGCGGCTCTGAAGGTGAGCTGGCTTCTTATGCCCTCACCGCCACCGCCACCATCCTACCCAGTTCAAAGTTAGAGTTCAATGAGCATTCCATTAAATTGTCTCATTTGCTAATCCATTTTTCTGAGATCTTCTACAGAACTTTGTGAATGTGCTATGGACATTTATTTTGCATGAATAGTACCAATTTTGCATATATATTTTTGTCTTGAATATGATTCACTCAGAATGTTTTTACTTATCTGGAATTTATATTCGCATACCCCAAAATATTATTTTTTAAAGGAACTGGTAAACAGTGGTGATGAGATTTTGCAAGAAATAAAAAACCTGATAGAGAAGCTGAAGGAAAGAGATGAAAACATTGAGCGTATCAGCACTTGGCTACAAGGGAATCTTGAAGAGCTGCATTTTCTTATGGAACAGGAATCAGAACTGGACCTCCATAGTAAGTAACATCTCAAAAGCTTTGGATTACAAAGAACCTCCTGTTATTTTACTGTAACCAGTAATATCAAAAAGGCATTTTAAAAAACCTAACCAAATCACATAATTATCCCTAATAATCCATCCCCAATTTATGTCACATTCACCTAAACATTGCTTCTCATTTGTGGGGTCAAACGTGGTAATGCAACAGTGTTGGACAAATCTCCCTTCCACCTACATGAGTTTTCTAAATAATTGAATCTTAATTTTTGATTTTTTGAAGCTTATTTTAAACATTTCCAAAGAAGTCTTTTTAAATCCTTTTATACACTTCCTTATCTTCGTAAACAGAAGATATGTCATGTTACACATGAGGGTGACAGAACTCTGTCCAGATTCTGGCTGTGGTGGGAAGAGGAGGTCAATTCTTGCACAGGTACAGCCCAGAGAAGCCAGGGGTGGAATCCCTGGGGAAGGCGGGCTGGTGGCAGCAGAAAGGCCTGGGGAAAGGGGGAGAATGGAGTGCAGGAGAGAGTGGTAAAATGAAAGTATCACCTAGTAAGGTTACTGAGTTTTCATTTTAAAGAATGTCACCATTAGATAAGCAATTTTAAAGGTGAGTTGTAGAAAGTGAAATGAGACAGAAAGTGATAGGATTGAAAAAATTCCAGTATTTGGTGAAACCAATGTTCTGAGGGTATTGCTTGACAAAAGAAATAATGCTTTCGTGACCAATGAAGACTCTTGTGGATAAACTTTCTTATCAGCCAAAAAGCTGTTTTTGTGGTGCTACTCAAGCCTGGTGATAGTTATCATGTGTAAGTGCATAGCAGGTCCCTGGTGGGCCCTGGTCACTTGGCAAAATTGTCTTTGGTAAGTCAGACCATCCCCAGCAACTGTAGATCAAGCAGAATTTTAAGAGCTAAATCACCTCAAAGTGTCAACTGCACTTTTTTTCACATAAGCGAGTCCTCCATTTTTGTCTGAAACCTGATGGAATCTTTTATGTTGGAACAGATTTAAATAGACGATATTGAAAAGCTAAGCCCACTGAGTAATACCATATTCCCCCCTCCCCTTTTTTTTTTTTTAACGTATTTTGAGGATGGTCTTATTGATAACTATATGGAAAGTAGAGAACTGTAGTGTGGAAATAAAGACCAACTACATGCAAACAAGCTGAGGCATAAAGCTTGGTATAGCAAGGGAGTTCGAGTCACCATCCCTTGCTTTGGGCAGAGATCCAAAGGCAGGCAGGGGATGGGAAAGGTTTACTGTGAAAGAAAAGGGAAGGTGTCAGCTGTGCTCTGATTGGAGGTTGTTGGCATGGGGAGGCTGGGTACAGCTAACTAGGAGCAGGACATCCTATGTGATTAGTAAGCATATTTGGCTTTCTCTGGTTGCTCCAAGGTTAGAAGGGTCAAAAAGTAGGGAAGATAGTGGTCATTTGCAGAGTTTGTGGGTCAGAGAACTCCTCAGGCTGTAGTTTTCCCGCTCCTGGTATAGTGGGAAAATCAGTTATCAAACAAATGTATGTAAAAATCCCTGTAACAAGGGATTTTACAGGTGGACCGAAAGAACTATGAGAGAACCTAACCAGGAAAGAGACTTGACCCTAGTTAAGGAATGGGGAAGAGGTCTCTGAAGGACCAGAAATGGAGCTGAGATCACAAGGAAGGTTTCTGGCTTCTCTAACTCCACTTATTTCTGCTCCTGGAACATTGGCACTATGTGGGCTTTGAAGGTAAGTGGACCTGGGCTCAGATCTTGGCTCTGCGTCTTACGTGTTATTTAACCTCTACTCCCCAGTTTCCCTGGTTGTAAAATATGGATAGTTAACAGCAAATTACAAAGCATCAGACCCAAATTAGGCACTCCTCAGATCGCTTGAAATCTTGCGCCCTCCTGTGGGAGGCGATAGCCTCGGCTCCTTGGATTACTTGACCATCTCTGAGCCACCTGTAATCTAGCTTTTGGGTTTTCCCTATTGAATGGCTGCTCTCAGGGATGGGACTTCTAGAGAAGCCCTTGATCTCTTCCAGCTCAACAGCCCTTGCCTGTCCTCTTCTGGACGTCATCTGTCACTGCAGCCATGCAGGTCCTGGCCCTCTCCTTCGGGAACACTGCACCAGCTCCAGAAACACGTGGAGCACCTTTGAGCCTGACACTAGAACGAATGCTGCAGTCACTAAGTTGAATAAGACCTGGTCCCTGAACCTCGAAGTGCATACACTGTGAGAACAAACAAGGAAATAGTGGATTCAAATACAAGGGACTCCTTCTAGTGAGTGGCTATGAGAGGGTAAAGAGAGGCATCTCTAAGTCTTTTTTGGGTTTTGGGAATACATAGGGATGGCTTCCTGAAAGGGCAGTAGACGTGCCCTGGCCGAGGACTGCGATAGCATGGCTGACTGGGTATCTGATGGGGGTTCTGAATGGCACGTGTGGAGGACAGGCTTGTCACAACTTAAAATGCCAGACTTCATCTTGCGTTAACACTCCTTCTTGCAAATAAAAGGTAAACAAGTTAATTCTTAAGGTGTATTCCTAAATCAAATAGTAACTGAGTATAGATTATTTTTTAAAAAGTATTAAAAATTTTTTAAATTCTAAAAGTCCCCAAGTCTTATATAACTTAAGTTACAGATAAATAATTTGTGTATTAATCAAATATTTTCACTTGATATGTGCGCTAAAGACTTTTTTTTAAGCCGAGGGATATTTTAAAAGAAATACCAAATTTGTATACACTATCACTTATCTTTTTGTTATGGTGATAAAAAGGACTTGATAGTTATAGTTTGATCATTTAATTCTGGAAAAGAAACATTAAAGCAGAATCAAAATTTCAGTAAGAAATAACTTTAAAAATCATTTGCTGAAAAATTTTCAAAAGGTCTCTTAGAAAACTTAAGGAAGAGTTTAGGCCATACTCTCAAGTATTAGAATCAGTTTAAAAAATCCTTCTGCTCAGCCTGTACCCTAGACCAATTCTGAATCTCTCGGGGCAGACCCAGGCATGTTTTAGGCCTCTCTCCAGTGGGCTCCAATGGGCAGCCAAATCTTGCAAACCAACAGTTTTAGACAAATATATAACCAACCATGTAGTTGTTAAATTTATCAACTGACCCAAATTAATAATGTTTTGACCTTTAAATTACCTATCCAGCACTGCTTAGCAAATAATTACCACACACTATAGCAGAGTTGTAATGGCCGATAAGGATCTAAGTAAAAACTGAACAAAGTTGAGTAGGGCAATTTGTTTATATTTTTAATGATCACGATTTAACAGATCATTCAGTAACATTGGCAACCATAGTTGCTATGAATTGTTCTGGTCTTGTTCTTAAAGCAAATTAAAAATGCAGATACATATTTAAGTACTCCTGAAACTCTGCATTTGAAGAATTATAATTACTTGCATGATTTTTCCTCTTGCATATGCATTTTTCTGCTAGAACAGATCAGAGAAGATAACTGTTAAAATGGCTCCAAATGTAGAGGGACAGATATGGTCTTGGTAATCAGATACATGGCTCCCTACGCTTCCCTTCCCCTCCCCATACCAAGTCCCAGACTATACAATTGTCCAATTGAGGATTCTTTGGGAAATTTAGAATTTTAATGTACACTAATAACAACCCGAACTTGTGTGACATACACAGAATTTTCACATTTTTACTCCTACAGAAAAGAAGAAACACATTCCTTTCAAAAAAGTCCATCCCCAGGGGGTTGAATGTACTATGAAAAACATTAACAAAGAAAAACTAAAATAACAAGGCTACACCTGCTGTGAATTTAAAAGGCAAAAACAAAACTACAAAACAAGTGAGTGCACTTTCATATTTTGCAATGGTCAGTGGATGTCTTAAGTTGATTAACAAACCTGCATAATCCCCACTAAACAGAATCGGTAAATAACTGTCTAAACAATACAGATGGATAAAATGGTCAGATTTTTTTTTCTAAAGATTTTATTATTTATTTGAGAGAGAGAATGAGACAGAGAGAGCGAGCATGAGAGGGGGGGAGGGTCAGAGGGAGAAGCAGACTCCCTGCTGAGCAGGGAGCCCGATGCGGGACTCGATCCCGGGACTCCAGGATCATGACCTGAGCCGAAGGCAGTCGCTTAACCAACTGAGCCACCCAAGCGCCCCAAAATGGTCAGATTATTAGGTCAAGTGCCAAAAAACTTTATTTTGCTTCCATATGAATCTCTTAAAGGCTTCCGAGAATAAAATTCGCAGCACACACCTATCAAGGAAAACTATATGTTGTATATATTCTGTATTTAGTTTAAGAAGGCATCCGTTGTAAGATGCATCCTAATTCAGAGATGTCACAATGTGAAAAAAGTTTCAGGATCAATAAAATATGGCACTGTGTATATATCCTTCAAAAATGAGACCAAAGAGGAAGGGACTATGTGAATACATGTATTTATTCATTTGGGAAAGAACTACTCCTCTTACTAAATGGTCTGAATTATTTCCACAATTAGTGTGGCAAAATACAATTAAATGTCAACATCTGAGATTTTTTGTAAAGCATTTTTTGTAAAGCACACAAAATGTAAGCATTTTGTTTTTCTTAACAGAAACAATAATCAGAAGATGTCTTCAACCAAACTACTTATAAACAGAAAACCTATTATATAAATTATACTCTATTTTTATAATCAAAATACTGTACTGGTAAAAATAAATAACAAACAACATACTTCATTTCCATGTTTGCTATCAGACCCACAAGGTATGTTTGTCCTTATAATTCATTATACTTGATCAACAAATTGAAATACAACAGACATGCACAATTAGGCCAATGCTAAGGATTTCAGATTATACTTGTCAGGGAATAGAGAAACATGATTTTGCTTTAAAGAATAACTAAGTTGTTGCCGGAGGCAAGTGCTTCCTAACATGCTTGTAGTGTCATAGAGTGCTAAAGTATACAGTGTATTATACTATGTAACAGACTACTACAGCATTTTGTATTTTCCAAGTCTAACCATAAAGTCTGTTAAGTCAAAAACAGAAAAACAAAACCCAATCTTACCTCCATGTACAATAGAAGAGTATTAATGCATTTTATATTTTTTTTTACTAAGAACACTTTTTAGGTTTTTTGGCATTTTACATTCAGTGTCCATTGGCTCCTTCGGAGAGTATCCGTGAAGGCTCGGTAAATTTTGCCGTGAACAAGTAAAAAAGAGCTGGTGTGGGTACCAAAGCCAAAAGGGGTAAATCCTGCTCGAGTTTATCCACTCTGGAAATGGATATTATTCCATAGGCGTGAAGTAACCAGTGGCTGAAGAGAACAATAAGTCTTTTCTTTCTCACCAGAAGATCATAGCAGTTCTATATAATTTTATAAAAGAAAACAAATTATTGGGCTGAATAAGCTAGATAATTTATTACATAATTTAAAATGCATTATTTGCTGGGAAGATGCAGAATAGGAAGATCCTGAGCCCTCCTCATCCCATGGATTCACTGAGATAACACACATCAGTGCAACTAACTCTGAAAATGACCCAAAGACTGGCAGCAGAAGACTTTCCACAGTTAATGGTAGAGAGGAGGCCACATCGGAAAGGGTAAGAAGGGTGGGGACATAGTTAGGAACTAAGCCCTGAGAGAGACTAACCAGAAGAAACCAAATGATCAGACCCCACACCAGCAACCCTAGGCACAGGGGTCCAGCACTGGGAGAATGAGTCCCCCAGTGGGCCTTAAGAGTTTTTTACAATCAGGAGCACTTAGCTCCAGGAGAGCCAGAAGATAACAGAGAAACTGAGTACTCCCAAGCCATTAAGAGCCAGCATAACAGGTAAGTGATGAATCACTAAATTCTACTCCTGAAACCAATATTACACTATAGGTTAACTAACTAGAATTTAAATAAAAATTTGAAGAAAACAAAAAAGAGCCAGCATAACAACCTAGCAGAAATGCAGCAGTTTGAAGAGCACCAGGGGTATATGTGAAGGAGGTTTACTAATCTCAGAACGTGCACGGTAGGGATCTTTAGGCAACTTCTCCAAGAACAAAAGAACTAGCACATACCCAGACACTTGCAGGAACCAGCAGAACACTCTCCACCTAGTGTGCTAGCACCACACCCAACCCATGTTCTCTTGCAGATTCACTCAGCAGGTACCTTCCAAAGCAGCTCCTGCCCCCCACACACTCTGCAAGCAACCCCGGGAGAGATGGCACCACTCCAAAGTGGCTCCCACCCTGGGGAGAGGGGAAGAGAATCACATACGCCAGCGTGCCCAAAATCCCAAGAGCCAAACCTTATAACCGAAAATGCAGAGGAAGTACCCTGCCAATCAGTGCCACGGTCGCTGCAACAGATTGCGGACAAGCATCTGGTGTGACTGTCAGCCCCACCAACCAGCAAAAACCTCTCAAGGGACAGGGAAGGGAGAGCAGTGCCCCGGAGAGTGGTGTACCTGCAGCCCCAACAGACAGAAGGGGGGCAGGCATCTGGTCTGACTGCCAATCCTCCCCAGCTACAGGCCCTCGGTGGCCCAAGACTGACATCTTAACAGCAGAGCGACCAAACCTTGCCTGGTGTGCCCTGAGCAGGTGAAGGAGGCCATTGCAGCTGACTGGACTGAAGGCAAACACAGCTCAGCCCCAACAGCAGGGCCCATGTACCCCACAGAGGAGACACTCCTGAAACACCTGGTTCTGGTGAACAGGGGGCACTGCGCCACAGGGCCTCTTCTTCATAAGGCCACTACTTTCAAAATCAGGAGATGTAGCTGACTTTTCTAATTCAAAGAAAAAGACAAAATGAGGAGACTGAGGAATAAGTCCCAAATGAAAGAGAGATAAGCAACATGCCTGATAACTAATGGTCATAATTGAGCGGAGGATCTCAGTGAGACCTTCAATAAAGAGATACAAAATATAAAACAGAACCAGTTGGAGATGAAGAACTAATAAGTGAAATGGAAATTATACTAGAGGGAATCAATAGAGGAAGGAGAAGAACAGATCAGTGATCTGGAAGACTGGTGTAATGGAAAGCAGCCAAGCTGAACAGCAAACAGAAAAAAACGTAGTAAAAAATGAGACTAGGTTAAGGGGACTCAGTGACACCATCAAGCCTAATAATATTCAAATAGGGATCCCAGAAGGGGGAGAGAGAAAAGGGACAGAAAATTTATTTGAATAAATAAAAGCTGAAACTTCCCTAATCTGGGGAAGAAAACAGCCAGATGCGGGCAGCACAGACAGCAGCTGACAAAACCCAGGACACATAATAATTACAACGGCAAAAGTAGTGCTAGAGATTTTACAAGCAGCAAGAGAAGAGAAAGCAATTACACATAAGGGAAACCTCGTAAGCCTATGAGGGGATTTTTCAGCAGAAACTCTGCAGGCCTGAAGGCAGTGGCACAATATATTCAAAATGCTTAAAGAAAAAAACCTGTTACCAAGAATACTCTATTCAGCAAGGCTGTTACGCAGAATTGAAGGAGAGATAAAGAGTTTCCCCATCCACTAAACCAGTCTTACAAGAAATGTTAAAGGGAATTCTTTTGAGTGGGGAAAAAACCCATAATGAGTAAGAAAACTATGAAAGGAAAAAATGTCACAGGTAAATGCAAACATGTAATAAAACATTAACCACATATAAAACCAGTATGGAGAGTAAAATGCAAAAACAGTAAAATCAAATATATCTATAAAAATCAGTGAAGGGACTCACAAAAGGAGGTAGAGTAGGACATCATATACATAAAACATGGCAGGGGTAAAAATTTAGTGCTTTTAGAATGGGTTCTAACGAAAGTGACCCACAACTTAATACAGACTGCTATACACATGAGAAGTTATATATGAATGTAATGGTAACCACAAATCAAAAACCTGTAATACATATACAAATAGAAAGGAATCCAAGCATAACACTAAAGGCATCAAACCACAAGAGAAGAGAAAGAAGAGGAGCAGAGAACTACAAAAATAACAGTAAAACAAGTAAAAGTGGCAGTAAGTATATACCTATTATAAATGGACTAAATGCTACAATCAAAAGACATAGGGTGCTGAATGGATAAAAAAACAACCCATCTAAGTGCTGTGTTTAACAGACTTCAGACCTAAACACATGCAAGATTGAAAGTGAAGGGAAAGAAAAACACATCATGCAAATAGAAGTTAGAAGAAAGCTGGGTTAGCAATATTTATACTGGATAAAAAAGACTTTAAAACAAGGACCGTACCAAGAGACAAAAAGGATACTGGATACTACATAATTATAAAGGGAACAATCCAACAAGAGGATAGAACAATTATAAATACGCACCCAAAAAGGGAGCACCTAATACATAAAGCAACTATTAACAGACAGGAAGAAACTGACAGTAATACAGTAATTGTTGGAGACTTCAATACTCCACTTACATCAATGGATGCACTATCCAGACAAATCAACAAGGAAACAATGGCTGTGAATGACACATCAGACCAGATGGACCTAAAAGATATATTCAAACATTCCATCCAAAAACAGTGGATTACACATTTTTTTCAAAGTGCGCATGGGATCTTTTCCATAATGGATCACATGTTAGACCCCAAAACAAGTCTCAATAAACTTAAAAAGGTCAAAATCATATCATGCATCTTTCCAACCACAAAGGTATGAAACTAGAAATCACAATAAAAAGTCTAGAAAGAACACAAATACATGGAGGCTAAATAACATGTTACTAAATGATTAATGGGTCAACCTAGACACTAAAGAGGAAATCAAAAATACATGAGACAAATGAAAATTACGATGGTTCAAAATCTTTGGGATGTAGCAAACGCTCTTCTAAGAAGGGAAGATTATAGCAATAGAGGCCTACCTCAAGAAATAAGAAACATCTCAAACAATGTAACCTTACCCCTAAAGGAGCTAGAAAAAGAACAAAGCCCAAAGCTAGTAGAAGGAAGAAAATAATAAAGATAAGAGCAGACATAAATGAAATAGAGATTAAAAAAAAAAATTGAACAGATCAGTTAAACCAGGAGCTGGCTCTTTGAAGATCAACAAAATTGATAAACCTTTAGCCAGACTCAGCAGGAAAAAAAGGTCTCAAATAAATAAAACTAGAAAAGGAGGAGAAATAACTGACACCACAGAAATACAAAGGATGTTAAGAGAATATTATGAAAAATTACATGCCAATAAATTGGACAACTTTAAAGAAATGGATACATTCCTAGAAGCATATAACCTCTCAAAAGTGAATCAGGAAGAAATAGAAAACTTGAACAGATCAATTACTATCAATGGAACGGAATCCGTAATCAAAACACTCCCAACAAAGTCCAAGACCAGATGGCATCATAGGTGAATTCTACCAAACATTTAAAGAAGAATTAATACCCATTCTTCTCAAACTATTTCAAAAAATAGAGAAGGAAAGCTTCCAAATATAGTCTATGAGGCCAGCATTACCCTGATGATAAAACCAGATAAAGACACCACAAAAAGGGAAAACTACAGGCCAATATCCCTGATGAACATAGATGCAAAAATCCTAAACAAGATATTGGTAAACTAAATGGAACAATACACTAAAGAAATTATTCTCCACAATCAAGTGGGTTTTATTCCAGGTTGCAAAGGTGGTTCAATATTTGCAAATCAACCAACATGATACATCACATTAATGAGAGGATAAAAACCATAGCATCATCTAAACAGATGCAGAAAAGGCATCTGACAAGGCACAACATCCATTTGTGATAAAAACCTCTCAACCAAGTTAGTCTAGAGGGAAGGTACCTCAACATAGTAAAGGCTGTATATGAAAATCCCACAGCTAACATCTTACTAAATGGTGAAAAACCAAGGGTCTTTCCTACAAGATCAGGAACAGGACAAGGAGATCCACTCTTACCACTTTAATTCAACAGAGTACTAGAAGTTCTAGCCACAGAAACAAAAAGAAATAAAAGACATTCAAATTGGTAAGGAAGAAGTAAAACTTCCACTATTTGCAGACGACATGATACTATATACAGAAAACCCTAAAGACGCCACCAAAAAACTACTAGAACTGATAAATGAATTCAATGAAGTTGCAGGATATAAAATTAATGAACACAAATCTGCTGAATTTCTACACACTAATAACGAAGTAGCGGAATGAGAAATTAAACACTCCTATTTACATTGTACAAAAATAATAAAACATCTAGGAATAAACTTAACCAAGGAAGCAAAAGACCTGTACTCTGAAAATTATAAAACACTGATAAAAGAAACTGAAGGTGACACAAACAAATGTAAATTCCATGCTCATGAATAGGAAGATCCAAGTGTTAAAATGTTTATACCACCCAAAGAAATCTACATAATGCAATCCCTATCAAAATAGCAACAACATTTTTTTACAGAACTAGAATAATCGTAAAATTTGTTTGGAACCACAAAAAATCCTAACTAGCCAAGGCAATTTTGGGAAAGAAAAACAGCTGGAGTTATGACAATCCCAGATTTCAAGATATACTACAAAGCTGTAGTAATCAAAGCAGTAAGGTACTGGCACAGAAAGAGACACACAGATCAGTGGAACAGAACAGAAAGCACTGAGATAAACCCATGCATATATGGTAAATTAATCTAGGACAAGGGAGGCAAGAGTATATACAATGGGGAAAAGACAGTCTCTTCAATAAATAGTGCTGCGAAAACTGCACACCTACATGCAAAGGAATGAAACTGGACTGCTTTCTTACCCCGTACACAAAAATAAACTCAAAATGGATTAAAGGCCTAAATGTGAGACCTGAAACCATAAAGTTCCTAGAACAAAATAGGCAGTAATTTGACATTGGCTACATAGGTCTCCTCAGGCAAGGGAAACAAAAGCAAAAGCAAAGTATTGGGACTACACCAAAATAAAAAGCTGTTACACAGTAAAGGAAACCATCAACAAAACAAAAAGGCAACCTAATGAAGGGGAGAAGATATTTGCAAGTGATATATCTGATAAGGGATTAATATGGGTATGGAGATATATATACATTAATATATATGGACATATATATTAATATGGATGTGGATACATATATCTCCTATGACTTCTACAACTCAACACCCAAGAAACAATCTGATTAAAAAAATGGCAGAGGACTTGGACAGTTTTCCCAAAAAAGACATACTAATCAGGGAAATGCAAATCAAAACTACAATGAGATATCACCTTACACTTGTCAGAGTAGCTAAAATCAAGAACACAAGAAACACACGTTGGTGAAGATGTGGAGAAAAAGGACCCTCGTGCACTGGGAATGCCAACTGGCACAGCCACTGTGGAAAACAGTATGGAGGCTCCTCAAAAAACTAAAAATAGAATTACCAAATTCCGCTACTGGGTATTTTCCCAAAGAAAACGAAAACACTAATCTGAAAAGATACGTGCACTCCCATGTTTATTGCAGCATTATTTACATAGCCAAGATATGGAAGCAACCCAAGTGTCCATGGGTAGATGAATGGACAAAGGTGTGGTACATATAAACAATGGGATATTACTCAGCCATAAAAAAGGATGAGATCTTGCCATTTGTAACAACATGGACAGACCTAGACGGTATGATGCTACGTGAGAAAGACCAATACCATATGATTTCACTCGTATGTGGGATTTAAGAAACAAAGGATAAAAAGCACAAAAACAAAAGAAAAAAGACTCAAATACAGAGAACAAACTGGTGGTTACCAGGGAGAAGTGGGTGAAAAAAGGGGATTAAGAGTACACATATCGTGATGAGCACTGAGTAATATATAGAATTGTTGAATCACTATATTGTACACAAACTAATATAACACTGTATGTTAATACTTCAGTAAAAATGTACTGTTTCCACACAATAACCTCAGAATCACACAATGTCTGACCTAAAAAGGACTCAAGAAATCACTCAGTCTAGCCACTACACTTTACAGATGAGGAAACCGAGGCTTCCGACAGCCATAATAAACATTCAGGGGCAGCACCAAAACAGGAGCCCATGTCTCTCAATTCTAGTCCACAGCACCATTCAACCCTGGAAACACTATGGTTTCTTCAGAGAGATGTGAACTAGAAGGGAACTCCACATGATGTGCCTTCTTCCTGCCCTGATCCACTGTAGCTGAGTCTTATAGGCAGGAAGTAGGAGGTATATACACCCAACTTCCTCAATCTCTAGTATTCTTGGGAGCCTGCTGCCTGGATAATTAGAGGGAGCAGAAACGACACGTGAACAGTCTGATTTCCTTCAATCTTTAAACAGCTCTCTAATATGCAGAAACTGGAGGTAACAAGTTATTATAAACGTAATATCTAAAAGTGCTAATAAACACACTAAAATGTCATTTGCAGTAGGTTACCAACTCTCTCTTATTAAATGACTCATCAACTCACCTAGAACTAGATTTTCTTTTCCTGATTCAGGTCCCTACTTCTGATTTATTATAGAGTGCTAACTGAAGTACATGAACATTTTATATAGAAGAGATTCCTGAAGCAGAGATATAAGTTTCAAGCTAATTTAACTATCCATAGTACAGATAATAAATAAAAATTCAAAAACTTCATTTTATTGAAATATCCAATCATTTCCTCCCTCAAGTCTTTCCTTAGAGTGGATAAAAATGACAAAATGAATTTGCTTATCTTCTTTAAACATACTGTATTGTTGATTAAAGATTACGAAGGAGAAATGGAGATAGTATACAAATGAAAAGATCTGAATCACCATAAAAATATTCTGTCTAGTTCCTCTACTATTGTTCTACCTGAAAGTCATTCCCTCTCATTCTTTCACTAATGTAACTTGATTTTCTCTGGGTTGAACTTTTTTATGAAAGAATTATGAGACAGCATGTATCTTATCAACAGTAGTATGCACCTGAAGACCGTGCCAAGGCACTAGATTAGCAAGCGACACTTTTACTCCTTTTAAGTGAAAGGAATAACTCAGAGTTCTAATAGTGGCCTTTCACTAAAATACTAAAAAGAGGCACAAAATGGAGATCTCAAAATAGGAACAGTATCAAAACGAATGTGACTATGACATTATTTCCAAATCACCAAAATATTAGAGTACAAAAGTAAAAACATCCATAATCAAGAAAATAAAATTGGGAACAAAGTATAGAAGAGTACAAAATGTATATAATTATTGATGACTGTCAGTGTTGCCATTGTAAAATAAAGTGTAAAATTAGTTCTATATACAATTAAGCATTTCATGTTTCCTTCAAAATAGTATTAATAACTTTCAACATTTCAATAATAAACATTTTCTATGTGGGTAAATTATGTGAAATGATTGTTTTTTCTCCAACATGCTGGATAGTTGAGCCTACTACTGCATAATTTCCCAAGCAAATACAGTCCAATATACAACCTTTCATAAACTTAAGTTAAAAGCTACTGAGTGCCATCAATTAGCCAATCAATTAGCCATTACTAAATCAATCAGTTGTACCATATGTACTCTTCTCCTATTCAGTTACTAAAATCTATTAAAAAGAAAAACCTTTAACAAAGGAAAAAAAGATTTCCTACCTCTATTTCAGAAGCTGACATGTACACAGCCAGAGTAACCAAAGATAATACTAATATAATGTATGGGAAGGCATAATCTGAAAAACAAACATTGGTATAATAATGAAAATTAAACAAATTTCCTGAATAAACCATCAAAAAAATTCAAACAGTATAATTCTCCCCATAGGTGAAAACTTTCTCAACCAGTCCTATGAGAAACTTAAGTCCTAATGCCCTAAGGCAGGGGTCAGCAAGCTTTCTGTAAAGGGCCAGATAGTAAATATTTTTGGCTTTGTGGGCCATACAGTCACTGTCTCAATCACTCAAGTCCCCATTGTAGTGGAATACAGCCAGACAATACATAAATGAATGGGTGTGGCTATGTCCCAATAAAACTTTAGGGATAATAAAATCCAAATTTCACATAATTTTCACGTTAAGCATTACTACTCTTAATTTTTTTTCTACTGTTTAAAAATGTAAAACTATCCTTGGCCCAGCTTTGAAGATCCTACCTTAAGGCATCCATTGAATGTAAAGAATTAACTTCTGTCTGCATCTAGAATACTAGTATGTACCAAACTCGGGAGGATTGAGAAAGTAATTACTCAAATAATTTTGTTTTGTGGTCCAGATGGAGGACATTGGTTAGAAAAGCTATCCAGTTTTAATTACTCTTTAGAAAAGTTCATGTATCAATAAATCTCAAAGGACAAATGGATCAGTGTTCTTTATGTCAAAATTCTACATATTTCTACTTCAAGCAAAAGTTTTCCTTATAAAATACTACCTTTCTCACATGTATCATATGACCTCACTGATATGAGGAATTCTTAATCTCAGGAAACAAACTGAGGGTTGCTGGAGTGGTGGGGGGGTGGGAGAGATTGGGTGGCTGGGTGATAGACATCGGGGAGGGTATGTGCTATGGTGAGCACTGTGAATTGTACAAGATTGATGAATCACGGATCTGTACTTCTGAAACAAATAATACAATATATGTTAAGAAAAAAAAGAAGAAGAAGAAGATAGCAGAAGGGGAAGAATGAAGGGGCGTAAGTTGGAGGGGGAGACGAACCATTAGAGACGATGGACTCTGAAAAACAAACTGAGGGTTCTAGAGGGGAGAGGGGTGGGGGGATGGGTTAGCCTGGTGATGGGTATTAAAGAGGGCACATTCTGCGTGGAGCACTGGGTGTTATGCACAAACAATGAATCATGGAACACTGCATCAAAAACTAATGATGTAATGTATGGTGGTTAACATAACAATAAAAAATTATTAAATCAAAATACTACCTTTCTCTTAAAATGTTTTCAATTTATTTTTTTTAAAGATTCATTTATTTATTTGACCCAGAGAGAGAGGGATCACAAGTACGCAGACAGGCAGGCAGAGGGAGAGGGAGAAGCAGGCTCCCCACTGAGCAGGGAGCCCGATACAGGGCCCAATCCCAGGACGCTGGGATCATGACATGAGCTGAAAGCAGACGCTTAACCGACTGAGCCACCCAGGTGCCCCAAAATGTTTTCAATTTATAGCACACTAAAACAAATGAACAAACTGAGAATAAAATCTTGAATTATTTTTCATATAATTATTTGAAAACAACTTCAATTTATGAAACCACTAATCATTCTAACATTGCAGTGGAACCCATCTGGAAAATTTCAAATGTTAATTCAGAAAGCAGAAGCCAGAAACTCTGACTTATCTATACGGGCCCAATTCCAACTTACTAAATAACTGAATGCCTTGTTTGACATTTAGAACATTTTACTTCACAGACAGCTATTAGGTCCTCAACCAACCATTCAAAAAAAAATCCCATTGAATTTATAAACAATGTTGCTAATGATACAAATTTAAGACTGAGTAGTAAAAAGCCATCTAAGTTAAAAAAAAAAAAGGGGGGGAAAGGAAGTTTCTAACAAGGCCCAAACTTGTGGGTAGCAGAGGGTGGTCTTGGGCTCAGGCATGGTTCTTACTCTAGAGTGTAAAACAATTCGAGATTTTGAGCAACTAGGCCTTGGGGTAAGGCCTGAGAATCTGCATTTTAGTTCCCCTAGTGGTTCGAATGCAGATCACACTTAAAAACTGGCTTCAATAATTCCAAGCAGGTAAAATTTGTCACAGACCTCTTCCTAATAACTCCAGTGTCTCCCTCCCTAGACCCAGGTATCGTAAGCTACCAGAAGCCGCTTGCTGCTCTACTTGCTCAGACACTTAAGAGTTCCTTGTTACGAACAGAATGTTTGTGTCCCCCCAAATTCTCCTGCTGAAATCCTAACTCGCAATGTGATGGTATTTGGAGGTGGGGCCTTTGGGAGGCGAGCAGGACATGAGGGCACAGCCCTCGTGAATGAAATTAGTGCCCTTACATAAGAGAGCCCCCCCACCAACTTCTGCCACATGAGGACACAGTGGGCTCTTACCCAGACACCAAATCTGCTGGTGCCCTGCTCTTGGACTTTCCATTTTCCAGGACTGTGAGAAAAAAATTTCCGTTGTTTGCAAGCCACCCCGTCTATGGTACTGTTATAGCAGTCTGAAGTGACTAAGACACTCCTACAAACCAAAATTATCTGTTCTTTTTTTTTCCAATATAAAATTACAAGTTGGTATGATATCCTGTGACTAATCTTAGCAGACTGCATAAATTTATATTTAGTGCAAATGAACACTAACTCCTTGATCCTCACAACGAATGTGTTTTAGGCAGAGGCTTGTTGACAAAGCCCAATCTGATCTGATGTTCAGTGTGGGGAAAAAGCATTTTTCAATACAGGCAGCTACAGTATATGAAGCAGTGGGGTCTGGCAGTCTCCCTGGGCTAACATCCCAAACCCTGGCCCACTTTCCACAGCTTTTTCCCCTCGGGAGGTTCTACACAATAGCACCACCTGTAGTCCAGGACACAGGGTGCGGGCTGACAATTCCTAAATCTTTCCAGCCTAGACAGCTCTCCTAAGCGCCAGACTCGTATAAATAATTACCTGTACTTTTGTGAATATTCCATGAACAGCTAAAACTGGATTCACTTCTCATCAACCTATTTTATTTGCTTCTTCTAATATCTGCTTCTGTTGCTCTATTCACCAGTTACTAAGTCAGAAAGCTACTCTATCATATTTTCCTCTTATTCCCTCACCCTATGTTTAATCAGTTACCTAGTTTAGTTAACTCTATCTTCAAAATACTCTCCATTCCCAGTGTTTCTCTGCTTTCGGCCAGTCAGACTTGGCTAGCAGCAATACCCTCCTAACGGACTCCCCAGGTCCTCTTCCCCCACCAATCCGTCTTCCACACTGCTATCAAGTTCTCTCTCCAAAATGCAAACCTAGGCATGTCACTCTTCTGCCTAAAATCCTTAAAGAGTAGGTCTCTATTCCCTAGAGCAAGAAAATAGCAACCTCAAACACCTACAGAGGCCAGCCAGGCAGGTAAATAATGGAAGTGGGCCAAATCTAAGAAAACATGGAATGGTAGGAGCTAGAAGGAACTAGACATTTTCAAATATTATGCAGGCCAACTGAAACAATACATCTGTAAACTAGAATATGAGTAGGATAACAGACCTCTGACTAGTCTCCCAATTTCCTCTTCCCTTGGCTTCACCTTCCCAGCGCCATCCTCCTCCAGAACCAAATTCATTACCATGCTACATAATGATGCCAATCTTTCCTAGTTCCTTTAGGCCAGAAACCTTGCCCTCTGTACCCTGGTAGGCTTCACATAAAAGATGGCATCTAACATCCCTGCAATATTCAATGTCACATATTCAAGTAAGTACTATACTACATTCCCTCAGGTACTTACAGCTTTCCTACTAGTATGTCAGTCCTTTAACAACTTCTTCTTATTCTTCTTTTGAGTCAAAATTCAGTCTAAATAGTTGCTGAATAAATGAATGGCTATATTAAAATAAAGAATATACTGAGGATTCTTTTACTGTACCTAAAAGGCTTTAGTAAAGGAACTCAAATACTGAAGACATAACTTAATGGTAATATATGTTAGTATATATTATCAACAGTAATTTCTAGGGCTCCTGGGTGGCTCAGTCGTTGAGCGTCTGCCTTCGGCTCAGGTCGTGGTCCCAGGGTCCTGGGATCGAGCCCCACATCGGGCTCCCTGCTCAGTGGGAGGCCTGCTTCTCCTTCTCCCACTCCCCCTGCTTGTGTTCCTGCTCTGGCTGTCTCTGTCAAATAAATAAAATCTTTAAAAAAAAACCCCCAAAACAGTAATTTCTATATATTATATGCAAAAACAAGTTTGTTTTTTAATTTATACTCAGGTTTTTAAAATATTCCTACTTAGGTTAAAAGCTTCAGATTCAAAGTATTCTTTAAATAGAAATCAGTTTTGATTAGTTTGAGAATATCTATTCCATTCCAAGAAGCCCATTTTTAATTTTTTTATAAGACTGATTATGTTTTAGGAAATATGTATTTTTTCAAGGATTAAAAAAACTATTTTAAAGAAAAAGATCCAAAATTTTACTTAGAGAAAATACTATTTATCACACATAAAAATATATTTCATTGACTTGACCCATCAAACTTACATAAAAGGCCTCCGCCAACTGCCTGAAGCACAGTTAAAATTGGAAAGAAGTAAAGTGCAGCATAAATACTTTTAAATCGATCAGACTTTCCTAACCCACAGGCAATCTTCTTTACCAGAAGGGGTCGGAGCAGCATCATCAATACCAAGCAGAATGCATAATAGATAAATACAATGGTGTATCTGTAAAATAAAACAAGGAATTATAACACTGAAAAAATGTTTTAAAATACCTATTACTGATCAATTTAAAATCAAAGATGCTAAAGAAGATTTAAAAAGGGTATTAAGCCAACCTCTTAACTCATAAGGTTTTAGTAATGTAAATATTTTTTATAGTAAATTTCTAATAATAGAAATTTGCATGCTTTGGTATGTCTCATCTAATCAAGTTCCCTTCAAAACTACAATTATCAGTAAAGTATCTTGGTATTTTTCAATTTGTAAGGAACTAGGCTATATATACCAATGGAGAAAATAGCCTGCATTAGTCAAGGTTAATAATGTTCCAAAGGCTTCTGATAATTTTGTGCCATTTACTTTTTGTTGACTCACAAAAGAAAAAAATTTCTATAACTTTTGGTAGTCCTGCAGCTTTAAGGGTTTTTTTTGTTTTTTTTTTTTTAAGTAATCTCTATGCCCAACCTGGGGCTTGAACTCAAAACCCCGAGATCAAGAGTTGCATGCTCTTCCAACCAAGCCAGCCAGGTGCCCCGGGTACTCCTGCCACTTTTTGAAAAGTTTAGCCCCAGTCTGGCCATATAGTTACATTTAAATGGCTATGTAAAGTAAATAATATGTATAAACCCAATGTTGATACCATAAAATCTTCTCATAATTTTCAAAAACCACTGTTCTGTATCATTAATAAAACAAGGGAGACAGGCCATGGCACAGTGACTACTGCTAAAGCTGCTGAGAAAAAACAGTATCTACTTAATTCAAAGATGGTGAACATATCCTGATCAATGAAGTTTTGTGAGGAGGCTGTTATGGCTGCAGAATGAGGGCCAAGAGCACCTATTTGCCATCTCTGTTCTAATCTTAATATTTGTTGACTCTCCTACTATATGCTTTATGGATAGTACAAAAAACACCTATATATGTGCACCACCAGTAAATGAATATGATTTTGTTTTAAGTAAGACAGTTATATATGATATCTGATTCCCTTTTTAAGCTCTCTAAATAGGACCAGGTTAAGTTCCGCAGTCCCCTGGACAGTATCTGAGAAGAGAATAATCGAAGCTGAGAGTTATAGCTCTATGACACCAAACAAGAATGCATTATCGGTCTTTTAGACGCAGTCTATACTCTCTTTAGAGAGAGACAGATGGCATAAATACAGGGCTTAATGGGAGGCAGGTAGAAAGAAGTTCATATCTCTGTATCTGAAATTTTATTTTTAAATTACCCTTTTACATTTGTGCAAGTGTTTTTCACACTTAGTACTCTTAAGAACCTGCAATAAAAAGGGTGATTTTCTTGAGCATATTATGTAATGGTAACTTGCTATAACTATGAGAATATAAATACCAGACTCTTCTATTACACCTTTACCAAGAAAAACACATCAAAATGAACACAAGGAGAAATTCTAAAAATGAAGAAGTCTGGGATAGTATTATAGAGAGTCTTATGAATTTGGTATTTTTATTTTTTTATGAATTTGGTATTTTTAAAACAAAACATCCTCATGGAAATTATAAACATTTGTTTTGGAAAAAAACAAAAACAAAAAAAACATTAACCCAAGCACTCTAATTACAATGCCAGCTACTATTTTATTAAGTGCTTCCTGTATGTAAGACACTGCACATGGTATCTGATATGTGCAGACTTATTTAATCCTCACAATCACCTTATAAGGTACCATTATTCCCATTTTTACCAACAGGAAAACGGAGGTTATGAGAGGCTCGTAACATGGTCACATTAACACAGCAGCTCAGGATTCAAACTCATGCCTGTTTTTACCTCTAAAGCCCATACTCTTTTCTCTGTCAGATACTGCTTGCATATCATAAAGATTTTCCTTATAACTCCCTTTTAAAGAAACAGATACTGCTTCTTTTAGAAATGCTTATACACACTTCAACACCAACACAAAAATACTTTCACTTGTATTATACTAAAATGTATTTCTACTCCCTTCTATTAGACTATGTATCCTTCAAGAGAAGAAAATCATTTCTCTATATCTCCCCCAGTGCCTGGAAGCCATGTTTCAATACTCAATCTGTTGAAACAAATAAAATCTATAATTACCATTTTTTAAATGATCTTCAGTCTATATAAATACTTACAGCGGGTAAACAGCTTCATGAGTACAATGCACTGTGGTAACATAATCGGGACTCGGGTTGTAAAGCATTGTGTACCAATCAGAAAGCATCAGTACTCGACATGAACGGATATAAAGAACACCAACTGGATCACTCACAAGTAACGTGATGACAGCTGCCATACTGCATTCGAATAATGCAGTGATGTGCTGGAAAAGTGCACTGGAACTAGTAAAACAAAAGAAGCACAATTACCAGAAAATTTTCAGTATTTCGATGGCTTTTAAGAAAACCTGTATGTTTCAAAATATGGATTCTAAAAGGAAATTTTAACTGATAAATCCCGAAACTAAACTACCCTCTAAATAGGTCAGAAAAGTCAAACATGAAAACCACTTGAGAAGAGTTTAACTTTCTGGACTAAAAAGGGATATGCATCCCGGATAACACTGTGCCAGTATTATCTAAAATGTACAGAAGAGCAGAAATTCAGGGCTTCCTTTATCTTTAGTGACTTGCTAAACTGTTAAGAATGTCTTAGTTATCCTGTGCATCATTTTAAATTATCTTAAATATAAAAAGCACATAAAAGCTTATATGTAATATATATTAGTTATAAAGTATAATAATAAACATTATAAGCTCATCATCTAACCCAGTAACTAGAACATTAACAATCTATATTTACCTCTGTTCCTTCCTCATTCCCACTCCTGGCTCTCCCCAAAGAGGTAACCATTACACTAAGTTGTCTTTATCACTTTTTCTGAAGTTTTTATTCCAATTAGATTATGTTTCAAAGCCACTCTGTCTAGTTTTGCTTATTTTTTTTTTTAAAGATTTATTTATTTGAAAGAGAGGGACAGCACACATGCACATGTGAGTGGGGCGGCAAAGAGAATCTCAAGCAGACTCCCTACTAAGCACGGAGCCGGACATGGGGTTCAATCTCACGACCCTGAGATCATGACCTGAGCTGAAATCAAGAATTGGACACTTAACTGAGCCACCCAGGTGCCCCAAGTTATGCTAATTTTTAAGCACTATAAAGTGATACTCGTCTTGAGATTTTTTTTCCCATTCAAAATTACATTTCTAAGATTCATCCATGGCATTGCTTATAGCTGAAGTTCAGTCATTTTCACTGCTGTATAATATTCTACTGTGTGCCCATTCCATCGTTTATCCATTTGCTTTTTTAGTTAAGTATGTTGCCAATGTCTTCCTCTCAGTTTATAGGCTGAATTTTCACTTTCTTGTGGTATCTATGAACAGATGTTCTAAATTTTAATATAATTCATCAATTTTTAAATTTCTGGTTAGCATTTTAATGTTCTGAGGAATCCTTACTCTGAGAAAAATATTAATCTATGTTTTCTTCTAAAAGTTTTAAGGTTTTGCTTTTCACATTTAAATCTTTCACTCACCTAGAATGGATTAGGTAGGTATGACTAGATTTTCCCACTTGGGTAACCCAACTGTAACTGGCATGTCCCTTGCAGGACTCTGGAAGCTATCCTTACGGAGAGGTTACAGAAAGAATGGCTCCTTTAGGGTGTAAGACCTTAAGCCTGGACTCCCACACCCACTCAGTGTGGATTTTACCTTCCTGCAGCTGAACTCAACTGCTTCGAAAGCTGACGCTGCCCTGCAGGCAAGCTGTGCTCTTCTGGGCAGACCGGTACTCGGTATGACCTACGGTAGTCTCTGAAGTCTGAATGTCTAACTGAACCTAGGTAGCATTCCCAGCAGGAATCAGACACACATTACAGCTTCTCATTCTGTGCTCCATTGCTCTTAATATATTTCATATTTTCTATCTCCTTTTCTCTCAGCATTGCATTATTTCTTCAGATACATGTAATTCCTAATTCACTAATTCTGTCTTCAACTGTTTAATCTGCTGATTGATCTACCATTTTTTAAATTTCTAGATGTTCCTTTTGTTTTTTAAACCAATCTGTTCATTCCCAATAATCTCTTGTTGACTCTTGGAGGTCTTTAGGACTGCATCCTTTATTTCTTTAAGCACTATAAAGGTATCAGTTTTGTACTGTGTAGCTGAAAGTCCATTATCTGCAGTCCTTTGGAAGTATAACTACAGTGTTGGTTACGTCTACCCACTCTCAGTCATGGTGTTGATTGTATTTGGTTCTCATAGAGTATGAGGTCATTAACAGATATTAATGAGTAAGATTTTTATGGGCCTAAACTGAGAATGGGGGAAGCTTTCCAGCAAAAAGGATCTGCTTGCTGCTTTTGTCGGCAGCCATGCCCGCCACTACCTTGGGCTTCAGCCTCTTGAGTCTAGGCTTTGTGCCGGCTGCCTCAGATTCAGCAACCGCTGCTGTCAGCAATTAACCACAGGCAATGCTCCCATTCCTACTGTCTGCTCTGTCACTCTGGCCCCACCTTAGGGTGGACTTGTTTTCTAAAAATGAATTCTTGGAGATCTCCCCTGCCTCCAGTGAGACCAGCAAGGTCTTAAATAGTATGTCTTTTCCAAACTTCAGTTATTTCCTACAGGAGGGTCACTTGGAGCTCCTAATTAGCTCATATTGTTGGAAAAACTCCTGCATGATTTTACACAGATGAAAACGGTGAATACGCGAACATTTACAATTTCATATAATCTAAGGTTTTGCTTCCTTATAGAATTCCTATTTTTAGAAACAACATCCCAATCTCATCATTTCTTGCTATTACTTTAGTAACCTTACTCGTCTCTTCTCATCATGCCTCCTTTTCAATCTGTCTGCAGCCAACCACACGATCTTTACAAAACAAAATCGGATTCTAAAACTCCCCTTCGTAGACTACTCAACGAGTCCCGTCTTGTGTTTCAGGAAAAACACTCCTTACCAGCATTATTTTCCACACCTCCTGGCCAGGCTACATTTCTTTCCTCCGCACGCCCCCACGCATGTGGGCACGCTTCTCTCACCTCTCCGGCAAGCTGTGTATCCTTCAAGATCAGCTCTGGAGTTGTCCCTAGGGCTTACAAAGATTTCCTAAGACTCTCGTAGTCCCAAATCTCCTTATATCCTGGTCTCATTTAGTCCCTATTTCTCACAGGACCCTCAGCTCTCATTTCTTGATTATACTGTGCGCTTTTTTGCCTCTATACTTTTGCACATTTTTTTCCTGCTGACTTTTTCTTCAATTCCTATCAAAATCTGCTCACTTTTCGAAGTCCAGCTTAAAGTCAGTTTTTTCTTCTGTGACACCACCCTATTCTGAGAAGGCAAAATTAACTTCTTTCTCCTTCTTGCCAGCCTATTACAGAACCTTACAAATATTGTGATGGCTTGTCTATCTCATCCACTGGACCGTGAGCATCCACGTTTCAGTCATCTCTGAATCTTGCAACCCAGTACAGCACCTGACACATTGCAAACATCCCTAGTAATTGCTGAATACATTCTAAAAGTTATAAATTATATAAAAACAAATCACATAAGAAGCACAGCTTCTGACCATACTGCATAAAAATATGTAATTCTGCTTATCTTCGCCCTGACCTTAAAGAAAAACAAATTTAATACTAAACTCTGGGGAAAGCAAGAGTACCAGAAAGGAAAGGTTTTTTGTTTTTTTTTTAAGGTTTTATTTATTTATTTGACAGAGAGAGCACAAGCAGAGGGGAATGGCAGGCAGAGGCCGAGGGAGAAGCAGGCTCCCCACTGAGCAGGGAGCCTGACATGGGACTCGGTCCCAGGACCCCGGGATCATGACCTGAGCCGAAGGCAGTCACTTAGCCAACCAAGCCACCCAGGCGCCCAGAAAGGAAAGTTTTGATGAGAGTCTGGCCCATGCATTCTCAATAGGTGATTTACTCCTAAGAGGGCAAGAATTGGTTCTTGGGGAGAAAATAATCTTACATTTGTTATTTATAGCACATAGATACATACACAACATAAACAAGCAGTATATTTATGATATTAAAATTTCATGGGGGGAGGTGGAATTAGAAAAAAGTATCTAAAAAGGCTCCTTATTTAAGGAAGTGACAATGAATAAAAGGTTGAGAAACACTGGTCTAGCCTCAGCTAGGACTATACTTCCTTGATTATAAGGACAACATCTCAGGAAAATTCAAGAGATGGCTCTTGTGTTCTTTGCTGCCAATTTCCTAGGCAAAGCACACCTAAGTTATGCAAACTCCTTCTTTTTAAACCCACCTGCTTTCCTGCCTGAGAACTAATCACTCCTTTGCTCTACCCTCAAACCAAACCCCACCCTCTGCTCCAAGACTGCCCCTCAAAACATATCTGATGTTTTAATTCAAATGCATTTGGGGAGGTACATCTCTATACCCCCATCTTTCCCTGCTAATGGCTGAGAAGTTCCAACCAACTAGCTGAGCAATTATTCCACTTTAGCTTTCAGTTTATCACGTCTCCTTTCTTGCCCTCATCTCTCATCATTTTATAACAGAAATTAAAAGATGAGAGCTACTTTTTAAAAAACCTTTTTGCGGATCCATCTGAAAAAGAACAATGGCTTTTCCTATATAAATTATCAGCCTGGATTTATTAGGTGGGATCCAGAAAACTACTATTTCCATCAGCCCATCCTTTCCATTCCCATTCACACTACTGGAATCTGGCCATCCCTACTTCTTGGAAACAGCCTTCTAATATGCCACACCTCTCATCTACCCTCTATAGAGGTTACCTTCCTAAAATTACACAGCCAGTGATGCTTTTATTTTTTTAAAGATTTTATTTATTTGACAGAGAGAGAGATAGCAAGAGCAGGAACACAAGCAGGGGGAGTGGGAGAGGGAGAAACACGCTTCCCACAGAGCAGGGAGCCCGATGCGGGGCTCGATCCCAGTACTCTGGGATCATGACATGAGCCGAAGGCAGATGCTTAATGACTGAGCCACCCAGGCGCCCGTGATGCTACTTCTTTAAGCCAAAACCTTCACCAATAAATCATGCACTCAGCAAATACTAAATGAGCATCTGCTGCATGCCGGCTGCCGTGCGAGTCTCTGGAGAGTCCATGGAGAGCAGAGGTGGCCACTGCCCTCACGGACTTCTAGTCGGGAGATCGGAGCAAACTAACCTAATTATAAATTGTGCTGAGTGCTAACTACAAAACCAAAACAATAAAATGAAGAATGCTATTAAAAAAAGAAAAATAAGGGGGGAAGACCTACTTTAAATTGGGTCAGGGAAGGCCTCTACAACTAGGTGTGATTTATACTGAAATCTGAAGGAAAAGGACAGCTAGGTGCAGTCAGAGGAACAAGAGAGCATCTGAGGCAGAGAAGAGCTGGGGAAAGGGAAAGGACCTAAGGCTGGAAAGATGCTGAGAAGTTAGAGGAACTAAAAGCCAGTAGGGCTGAAATGTACTAATGTGGCTCCTCATTCCCAGTATAAACTTCACATCCTCATCAAGAACCTTCACATTCCGGGGGCACCTGGGTGGCTCAGTCGGTTAGGAGACTGACTTGTATTCAGCTCAAGTCATGATCTCAGGGTCCTGAGATGGAGCCCCACATCAAGCTCCATGCTCAGTGCGGAGTCTGCTTGTCCCTCTCCCTCTGCTCCTCCCCCTGCTTGCATGATTGCGCTCTCTTTCTCACAAACCAACCAACCTTCACATTTTGGCCTCAACCTACTTTTCCCACTCTCCTGTTTATTGCCTTTCTTTGATGTGCAATCCACACTCTGACCACCCCAGACTACTTCCAGTCCCACCTAAAACACAGCACACATTTTATACCTCCATGCCACTGTTCATGCTGTTTCCTCTGCCTAAAATGTTTTTTTGAAGTCTTTCAGATCACATCAGGCACAATTTATCTCTTCTATTCTTTGTCATTCTAGGGCATTTTGCTCATAGTGCTTTAAGATTTATTTATTTGAGAAAGAGAGAAAGAGCAAGCGTGAGCAAGTGCAAGCTGGGGGAGGGGAGGAGGGAGAGAGAGAATCTCAAACAGATTCTCCACTGAGCACAAAGCCTACACAGGGCTGGATGACCCTGAGATCATGACCTGAGCCAAAACCAAGAGTCAGACGCCTAACCCACTGAGCCACCAGGCACCCCTCATAACACTTTTACACACTTGTTTATACACTTCTAAAACTGATTTATAATTAGCTGTATACACATTTGTCTTCTCTACAAGATTACGAGTATAAACCACATGAGTTATTTCTGTACCTCCTCCCCTGATCTTCTAAACATAAAACACAGGGCTCAATAAATGCTTGTTGGTTTAATGTTTTAGTATCAGTTTTCATAGTTAGGTTGCAGCTATATCATTTTAACTACATTATACTAGGTTACTAGTATTAAATCAAATCACGAAGTATTTGTTCTACAGCAATATAGTTTGTAATCATAACCAATTCTTTGTAGAAAATCCCTAAAGATTGTAATTGAGAAATGAAAAAAAATTCCTTCAAGATCATTTAGAGTAAAACAAAAGCTATTTCCCTTTATATTACTGAGGCATACCCTATCCTTAAGTTTTCTTGCCACAAAGTCATCAGAGTATAAAGCAAAAACAGGTTCACTACAAGTATAATTATTTAATAAGGTCTTCTAAATGATCATTATTCCAACATCAGTCCGTCCAGATGCATTTACAGAAAGTGCTAACCTCTTTTTCCCCGAGTACCATTCGATGAAGAACCAATGTAAGACAAGAGGAAGCATAGCCATAAACCCAAGATATAGCCAATCATAAAGTTCTGGGGACTCTGCGCACGGCTGACAGTACTTCTGCGCATTTGTCCTCTGTCCTCTTGGACACACCTACAATATAAAAACAGTGTTTTATGTACAGATATTATTTTAGAACATTAATATCCCAAAGCCATTCTATAAAGACATCCTGTTTCAGTTTAGATATGTGCACGTGTGCATCTTTTAGAAATAGAAGAAAGCGCGCATGTAAAATAAATAAAATAAATCTACACTGGTGTTTGGTGTATCTGTATAACACTCTTTTAAAAGATTCCTTTTGCTAAGTTACAAATAGATGACTAACATTAAATGATAAACTCAGTTAATAATGCCATATAAAAATAATTAGAGAAAAGTTCTGAGTTTTAATGTTAACTTACTGCCCCAGTCACTGCACTATAGCATTAATAATTAGAAATTATCAAATTATAAAATGTTTTAAAAAATACTTAACTGTGACTGTCAAGAAAAACGTATTATAGACAATACAACACAGACAAGAATTTTATTAATGCCTCATATTTTTATAAATTAATGAGTATACTGAAGAAAAAAGATATTCTACATGTGAAAATATTTCAAAAGCAAAAAGATTTTAGCAATGAAATAGCATACACATGTTAATTAAGACTTACCCCACATTCTCCGTATATTTCAGTTGAGCCATTTTTAAATAATAGGGTCTTCCCACAGTAAAGTCCAAGGCATGCTGGTTGAATATCGACAGCTTTTTAAAAACAAATGCCAGTAAAGTAACATCTTTTGTGATTATAAAAAATAATGTAATAACAGTTGAAGCACTTGGCAGAAATATCTCAACACAGTTGTTAAAAAGGATACGTATTAGACAAAAGTCTCGATGCACTTATTTTTAAACTTAAATCTCCCCTTTTACACTATGCCACTGCAGAAAGTTATACCGAAATCTTGTTGTTAATGCCATTCCTTATTGGTTAAGACCCATCAACCAGCAAAGTGGGATCTATCCCCAGAATTCAAAGCTTAACCTGGTATGTCTCCAATGGCTCCAGCAGCTAGTCCCCCTTGATTAGATGGTCTAGACTTTTGCATTTCCATTTTTTAATTAGAAAACTAATAGAGGATCACCACCCCTATTTTGCCCAGTCAGAACATTAAGTGTGCACACATACAACACACAGAGACACACACACAAAATATCACCTTCGTTCATAATAGAACACATTTTAATAACAGAAAAGCAATAATTTCAAAATAAAGGGCAGGCCTTTAAAGTAAATAAATTCACCTTTACAAAAAGATTACTACATTGTCCTAAATTTTGTCATTTTTGTTGAGGACAGGGGAAAATTTCATCAAGGCTGTCAGTGGGCCTCTGACCAATATTTGGGAACTAAGAATCAACCCCCTGCTCACAACGCTTAGGCGAAATAAAAAGCAGCTTTCTTCACAAAAAAACCTCAGTGCCTGCAGATTGTCTTTGACCTCATCAAGAAGCTATTAAAGGAGTTTGTTTTTTTTCATCAGAGACATCTGATTTTCCTTCGTTCATTGATTCACTTATTCAATAAACGTGCATTAAGTGTCAGATTCCCTGGTTAGAACTTCTAAAGATCCACGGAGCAACATAACAAGAGTCCCTGCCCTCAAAGAACCTAAATCCAAAACTGTGGTCAAATGTGAATTAATTTGGAAAATTATGCATTTTATGACTATTGTAGGGGTCAAGGGGAAGGCTCCCAAAATGTGCCACTTTGGCATATTATTTTAAACAAAAGTTACTTAAGAAACAACAGGGGCAAGGACACTCAGACCTCCTCTGTCCCCCTGAAAACAGTAAAAAGATATCCTTATTACCAGTGATAATGACTTTAAAGTCAAAAAAGCTGCAAAAATAAACCTTGTTACTTTTTTGCTAATCTTAGCCCAAATACCTGTTTTCCTTTTCCTGTAAATTCCTCACAAATTTATTGCCTCTTTATCGATAATGTATAAAGAACTGCCTGCATTGGTCATTTCTTTAAGTCTTAGTTTCATAATTGGGCCTCCACGCAAACATAATAAAACTTGGTGGTTTTTTTCTGTTAATCTGTCTCATGTGAACTTAATTTTTAGTCCAGCTGGAAGACCCTAAAAGTAGAGAATTTTTCCTTCCTTTCACTATTCTTGAATAATTTCCCTAATTCTTCATGAATTCACAATAGAGACTTTGTCCACAATGTCCTTTCTCCTTTCAAATTCAAGTACTTTTGATTTCTTTCTCCTTGTGCTGCTGAGAAACAATACAAAGAGCACTGACTAAAATGTTTCAAGTTTAATATTTTAATACCAAATTTCTGTATTTTTAAAATCCATGGGTTTCTTTACCTTATTTGGCGTATACTTTTTAATCAATTGTAATCAGTATGTCCTAAACTACTAACAGACAAAAATGAACTGTTTCAGAGTTTTTGAGAAGACAGAAGTGAAAGAATTGGAGGCTTCTTCCACATGGATTTTGCATCTAGTAGGTGTTTAATAAATACATCTGAATGTAAATAATCTAAAGTTCTCAAAACCCAAGGCCTGAAAATCACCAAACCGAAAGCAACAGCTCATCACCGACCAAACAAAACCAAGGCTCCCCGTGTCCGTTCAATTTCCCCTCCCATTTCCCTTTACTGGAGGGTGGCTAACATTTTCAGACTTTTTTGCAACGGTCTTACCCTTTGTGAAAGGCTCTATAAACAACGTCTGATGCAGCAACGGGCGACTTCAGCAGCAATTAGCTTCCGCCCCCTTTCCTGTTTGTTGGCACTTACTGACGCCCGCTGTTTAAATTTTTGAAGTCTACCCTCACGAATGCTAAACAAAGGGACTAAAACAAAGGGACTGAAGTGACCTCTCGAACACAACCAAGGCCTGGTCTTTCGCCCTGGCACACAGAGCCCGCCTCTCCTCTACGGCGTGTCTCCTCTGCAGCCCGAGGGGGCCGAGACCACCCCGACCCCGGGAGGAGGGCCCGCCCGAGGCGGTGCGAGCCAGAGGCAAGGATGCGCCGCTAACCGGAGGCCGCCCCCCGGGGCATAGCCCAAAGCCGCCAGCGTGGGGAAGAAGCAGGGACTAAGACAAACGGTTTCCGCGACCTCGGCGACCACTCACCCATTGGCCGCTTGCAGGTTTCCCTGAAGAAGGTCCGGGATCAGCCTCCCGCAGCGCCCGGACATCCGGGCCACAGCCGCCTCGGCGGCTCCGCCTCCTGGTAACCCGGGCGACCACCCGAAGCCGCGCCCCCTCGCCCTTCTTGGTCTCTGCTCGGAGGCCCCGCCCCGGAGGCGGCCGCAAGTCTTGAAGCTCTCGGACGGAGTAGGCGCGTGGGCTGGAGGCTCGAAACACGCATCGCCGGGATGTGGTCGCGTTCCCGGACGCAGGCGATGGAGAGGGCGCTGGCGCTGCCGCGGCTGCCCCCGCACGACCCGGGGACTCCGGCGCTGTCGGTGGTGGACATGCACACGGGCGGCGAGCCCCTGCGCATCGTGGTGGCGGGGTGTCCGGAAGTGGTCGGCCCCACGCTGCTGGCCAAGCGGCGCTACATGCGCCAGCACCTTGACCACCTGCGACGAAGGCTCATGTTCGAGCCTCGGGGGCACCGGGACATGTACGGGGTTGTGTTGGTGCCTAGCGAGTTGCCGGACGCGCACCTGGGCGTCCTGTTCCTGCACAACGAGGGCTACAGCTCCATGTGCGGCCATGCAGTGCTGGCTCTGGGCCGCTTCGCCCTCGACTTCGGGCTGGTACTCGCACCCCCGGCCGGCGCCCGCGAGGCCCGCGTCAACATCCACTGCCCGTGCGGGCTGGTGGCCGCCTTCGTGGAATGCGAGGGCGGCCGCAGTCGCGGCCCGGTGCGCTTCCACAGCGTCCCAGCCTTCGCGCTGGCCACAGGTAAATGGCGAGACCCTCCCAGGTCGGGGAAGCAACTAACTACACTAACCGTCTCTCTGGCCTGGAACTCACGCAGTGCAGTTAACCCACCCACGAGCCTTTGCGATTAATAAAAAGATAAAATCAATGCAAATGTGTGTTAGCATCTTAGCCTTGCAGATTTGTGCCGTGCATGCAATTCGATTATCCCGCAGATTTCGTCTTGGTCTTGAGAGAGCCTTGAGGAGTACAGAATTTCGTGTCTCCCTTACTCAGCGCCTCGTTCCCCACTGTCAGGCATTCCTAGAGATTTCACAGTTGGGTGAGTCTGAGGAAGGAAAGAGCAAAGAACAGCCGATGTACCAGGGTTCGTTGGCTGATTCAGAATACACTTACTAGACATTGCCCCCTGACAAGTTACTAAGCCCTGTGCTGTTTTCCTCACCTGTAAAAAGTGCCTTCCCCACTTCTTTGGGAAATAATTAAGAATGAATGAACTAAGCAATTTATAAACCCGGAAGATACAGATGTTGCTGCTCTTACTCTTTAAGAACAGGAACCGACATTGTGTGAGTCCAAATCCTGACAACCCCTTTAAGCTACGCAACCTTAATCAAATTCCTAACCTCTCTGTGCCTATATTTTTTCATTTGTTATCTCACTGAGTTTTTGGTGAGGATTAAATGATAGTATGCAAAGCACTCAGAAATTTTAAAAATATATTTCTAGAGACAGAAAGACTGTAGGTATAACACCCAGTGCTCATCACAAGTGCCTCCTTAATACCCATCACCCGTTTAGTCTATCCCCCCACCTCCCCTCCAGCAACCCTCAGTGTGTCCTCTATCATTAAGAGTCTCTTATGGTTTGCCTCCCTTTTTTTTTTCTTTCCCCTATGTTCATGTTTTGTTTTTTAAATTCCACATGAGTGAAATCATACAGTGTTTTTCTCTGATTTTGCTTAGCATAATACACTCTAGGTCCATCCACATTGTTGCAAATGGCAAGATTTCATTCTTTTTGATGGCTGAGTAATATTCCATTATATACGTACATATATATATACACATATGACATCTTCTTTATACATTCATCAGTTGATGGACATTTGGGTTCTTTCCATAATTTGGCTATTGTTGATAATGCTGCTATAAACATCGGGGGCATTCTATTAGATCTTGATCTTTCTTGAGGATTTGGATTCTAGCTTAGCCTAATTATGAATGAGGCAGTAATAGCCCAGGCATTTGTCAGTCTTAGAGCAACCTCAGGCAGCTGAAACACACAGGTTGATGAATTCCCCTGGGGGAACTGATGGCACTTTGCCCTCTAGGAGAGAACAGTGTCACATCCAGATTGGGAGGGCACTTGAGATAGACAGGAATTTGGTTAGGTTGCATCTCGAAAATCTCAGCAGTTTGAATAGTTTAGCTATCCAGTTTCTCCTTAGGCAACCCCAGCAGCAGATTGGAAGTGTTCTAGATTTGTGGGAAATGACAGCTAGCAGCAGGATCACCAACGACATCATAGCTCAGGGCTGGTTGGGTCAGGGCAGCCAATCTGTAAGCACATAGTTCCCGAGAGCAGGGCTGTGTGACTATACAATAATCGGTGGGCTGTAATGGTCACTTTGAGTCATAAAAAAGATCCTGGGGCTCCTGGGTGGCTCAGTCTTTGGGCGTCTGCCTCCGGCTCAGGTCATGATCCCGGGGTCCTGGGATCGAGCCCCGCATTGGGCTCCCTGCTCCATGGGAAGCCTGCTTCTCCCTCTCCCACTCCCCCAGCTTGTGTTCCTGCTCTTGCGCTCTCTCTCTCTGTCACATAAATAAATAAAATCTTTAAAACAAGGGTGCCTGGGTGGCTCAGGTTGGTTAAGCAACTGCCTTCGGCTCAGGTCATGATCCTGGAGTCCCGGGATTGAATCCCGCATCGGGCTCCCGGCTCAGTGGGGAGTCCGCTTCTCCCTCTCCCGCTCTCCCCTCTTGTGTACTCTCTCTCTCATTCTCTCTCTCAAATAAATAAAATCTTTAAAAAAAAATCTTTTAAAAAAAAAGGAGTCCCTCCATTAAAAAAAAAAAAAGAGCCTAAATTTTCTACTTTGAAAAATGCTAAAACAGTGGACTGACAAGTGTTCAAGATCACTGCTCTGTCCCATCTCCATCTTGATGACCTTGCAAAAGGGATTCCACACCTCAAGGTCATCATCTGCAAAATGAAGATGACAACAGTACCTACCCACCTCAGAAGATTGCTGAGTTTATTTCCATTCCACTCTGCTAAAATGAAAACTTTGTTTTGTTACTGTATTCAAGTGCTAGAACAGTAGGTAGTCAGTATTTGTTGAACGAGTAACTAAGTGAATGAAACTAGGAGAAGAATATGGTGATTAGCAAATGTAAATATCCTCTTAAAAACCCTATTCCCGGGGCGCCTGGGTGGCTCAGTTGGTTAAGCGACTGCCTTCGGCTCAGGTCATGATCCTGGAATCCCGGGATCGAGTCCCGCATCGGGCTCCCTGCTCGGCGGGGAGTCCGCTTCTCCCTCTGACCCTCCCCCCTCTCATGCTCTCTCTCTCTATCTCATTCTCTCTCTCAAGTAAATAAATAAAATTTTAAAAAAACAAAAAAAAACCCTATTCCCTTTGGAAATTAAATTTTTGGCCTTACTATTAACATTAAGGTATTTCTGATTTGTGCCACACACTCCCCACACATTATCACATGGAATTCACACAGCAATCCTTTCGGGCGGGGACAGCAGTTCCATGTTACACATGAGGACACCAAAGCCACACTTAGCTTAGCTTTCCAACTTCCAGCAGCCCCTCATTTCCATCTACTTCCTCATTCTCCTTTCATTAAGTCTGATTTTTATGTTGCACCAGCATCAAGATAAAGACATGTTTCATTCACAGTTGCTCTTAAGCTCCACAGGCATATTTTACTTTCTTGATTATAAACTTGCTCTGTTTTGACACATCATGTGTTAAAAGGGCTCTGTGAGCCAGCCTGGAACTGATAGCATACTGATTGGTATCTTTGTATGAGTCAGTGTGCAAACTCAGGCATATAAGCAATATTTTATTTTTCAGAATTTCTGAATTTGAGGCCCCATTCTGCCTTGTTGACTTGCCTAGCCTCATCTGTCTACATGCTGTCCCCTTTCCTGATACATGTGTAGCAAAGGTTTCTTTGAAGAGCCAAGGCTTTGGAGAGGAGGGCCTTTTAGTCATCAGCCTGCATGGTCAACCAGTGAAGCATCATCTGCCCCTGGCCATGTGGCCCCTGTCCCTGCCTCTCCTCCTCTTTGCTACCTCTCTCACACCCCTGTAGCCTCCCTGTAGTGCTGTGGGGAAGTCAGCACAGGTCCTCTGCACTCCAGACCTGCCACCTCTTTTCTCGGTCCAGAGGAAATTTCTCTATTGACCAAGAGAAACATGGTGACCCTTCAGGCCAACACACCTCTTTCTCCCCAGATCTTAGGTTTCCATAAAACCTGCTTTCTCCCCTGCCATACATCTCCCCCAGAGGCAGTGATCACCAAGCCAGCTTGAACTGGGGAGGAGGAAAAGGAAAATGCAAGAAGGGGTAAAACAGTTTGAATATCCTAAAATATCATCTAGCCCCATTCCTTTGGAAATATGAATTTAGGATTTCAAACAACTGACCTTCAGGTGAAACTTTGGGTAAGTTGAGGACTTAGAATACTCAAAACCCAGATACAAAACGATACTGTAAACATCAGTGATTCCATAATGGCTTTATTCTGAGTATTTGCCTGTAGGATGCTTTCATGAGATGAAAATACATAGATGAATTAGTATATATAACTTACATAGAAAAATCTTTTTTTCATTTTGTTTTGACATTATAGCTGAAGAAAGCCAATTTGTGAATAGGATCCAAATCATATATTAAACGATTCCTAGTAGGGACGCCTGGGTGGCTCAGTAGGTTAAGTGTCTGGCTTCGGCTCAGGTCATGATCCCAGGGTTCTGGGATCAAGCCCTGCAAGGAACCTGCTTCTCCCTCTGCCTGCCGCTCTCCCTGCTTGTGCTCTCTCTTGCTTTCTCTGACAAATAAATAAATAAAATCTTTAAACAATTCCTAGTAGTAGTATGAGAGGGGACTTTCATTTTCCACCCTTGTTTTCACACATTGATGTCCCAAGATTTCCCCTCTCTCTGCCTCTATGAGGTTTTCTAGCAAAGATCCTCAAAGTAGTTAACAAAATAAGTTTACACGATTTAAGAAAAACATGGCATTAGAGGTTCTAAAACTTATGCGAGTATCATTAAATTAAAAATAGATGCACTCAGCTAAACGCCTATTATTATTTGATGCTTACTCATTTCAAAAATGCTTCATTCCCCTCTATGATAGGAAAATGTACCCCTCCACCAAAATATACATATCAAATATGCTCTGAATTGTACTGCCAAAATACTATTAAAAAACTTTTTTTTTTTTTAAGATTTTACTTATTTGACAGAGAGAGAGACAGCAAGAGAGGGAACACAGCAGGGAGAGTGGGAGAGGGAGAAGCAAGCTTCCCGCGGAGCAGGGAGCCTTAAGTGGGGCTCCATCCCAGGACCCTGGGATCATGACCTGAGCTGAAGGCAGATGCTTAACGACTGAGCCACCCAGGCACCCCAAGAAACTTATTTTCAAACACATCTTTTTTAGATCTCTTAGTGGATGTTCCTGGTCATGGAAAGATGGTGGTAGACATTGCATATGGTGGAGCATTTTATGCATTTGTTAGTGCTGAAAAGTTCGCACTTGACGTTTGTTCTGCAAAGACAAGGGACCTTGTGGATGCGGCGAGTGCAGTGACGGAAGCAGTCAAAGCTCAGGTCAGTACAAACACTGCTTTCATCGCATGTGCCCTCCTCTGCGGCATGGAGGGAATATAAATTACACGTCTACACAGACAGTTAAATATCTACATATTTAAATTATTAGTAGGACTAAAAATAAGGTACTGGTTACAATCTTGGGCTCTATAGCAAGACTATCTAGGAGTCCCAGTTTTGCCACTTGTAAGTTTTGCAACCTTGAATGAGTTACATAACCTTCCTGTTGTGCAATGGGAATTACAAAATACCTGTTTCATAGGGTGTTATAAGAATGAAGTAAGTCAAGGGGCGCCTGGGTGGCTCAGTCGTTAAGCGTCTGCCTTCGGCTCAGGTCATGATCCCAGGGTCCTGGGATCGAGTCCCACATCGGGCTCCCTGCTCCGCTGGAAGCCTGCTTCTCCCTCTCCCACTCCCCCTGCTTGTGTTCCCTCTCTTGCTGTGTCTCTCTCTGTCAAATAAATAAAAAAAAAAAAAAGAATGAAGTAAGTCAATACGTTCAAAGGACTTAGAATAATGCTGACCTATAATAAATGATCAATAAGTAACTTATTAACTTTAATTATATACATACTAGTATAATTTGTGGTTATTTACACATATGGAAAATGTATCAAACAGTATTTCACTAATTTGAAATGCATACTTTGCTATATGTGGTCATTCTGCAAAACTTGCAAATAATGAATGTCAGTTATAGCTCACAAAATAGATTTCATTAAATCTGTTCAGACTTTCTTATTTCACAGAGAACATTAATTCCTAATTAGTAAAATTTTCTTATATTGCTAAGAAGTTACTTAAGTAACTACTCAAGTAAGTCTAGTTTTGGCTTGGGAAAACTATTCTGATAAAATCAGTTTGGATAATAAATATGTCTAGAATATTCTTTCATTTCTAGCACAAGTCTGCCATTTTACATTGGGACCTGTAAATAAAACTCATATACAGTATTTGAATGTTTTAGCGTATGAGAATTTAATCTCTATTCTAAGTAAAAAATAACTTGTGAAAGATAGTGCCTAATATACTTGTACTAATAATTACTATGAGCCTATTTAACATACCTGAGACTTTAACATAATTTGTAACTTAAACAAGATGAAAATATATACTTTATTCCTGTTCTAAATTGTCATTTATCTAGGACTATCAATACCAATAGCTAGAATTAGTTTATCATAGCAACTTCTGAGGTTCTGAATTTATATCAATTTTCTATTCACTAGGCAGCTTATAGTTTGAGCTAAAATTTCACATGAAATAACTTTATTTTTATTTTTTTATTTTTATTTTTTTTTAAAGATTTTATTTATTTATTTGAGAGAGAGAGATTGAGAGATAGAGAGCACGAGAGGGAAGAGGGTCAGAGGGAGAAGCAGACTCCCTGCCGAGCAGGGAGCCCGATGTGGGACTCGATCCCGGGACTCCGGGATCATGACCTGAGCCGAAGGCAGTCGCTTAACCAACGGAGCCACCCAGGCGCCCGAAATAACTTTATTTTTAATGAGATCAAGAGAAAAAGGCATAGTTTTCTTAAAAGGAGTAATTTTGAACTTCTCATTAAAGTGTGAACTTCTTACCAAGGTGAGAAGGGGTGGACTTCGAGGGGGGAGGGATTCTGAGAGAAATAGAAGAAAACCACGTATGAGATGATGATATATAGCATCATCTATTAGTGCTGAATCAGGCAGCAGAACTACTTTGTTAACCGCTGACCATTCACACCGCTGATGCAGATTTAGGGAAAGGCCATTTTGGTGGGGGCTGAAGTTAGTACACATTCATCCTCATTCATTTATTCTTTTTTTTTTTAAGTTTTTATTTAAATTCCAGTTAGTTAACACACAGTGTAATATTAGTTTCAGGTGTATTCCTTCTTTTAACAAACATTTACCAGAACTTAGTGAGTCGCACACTATGCTATGTTAGATGCTAGAGACTCCAGGAAAGAACAAACCCGCCTTCCAGGAGCTCAGTCTGGTGGGGGAAGAATACCATGAAGAGTGTGAGGTAATGATGCTGTGGTGGGGGTGTGGCATGGGGGCTTTCAGAGGATGCAGAACAAAGATCCAGCAGGAAGGCCGCTTAAACTTGGCTTTCGATGGACTCTGGATTTTAAGAACCCAAATCTATTCACTTGCTTCAGATGACAGGTAAGTAGCAGTGGAATGTACTAATTGTAAGGATGCACATGGAAGTAAGATTATAGTTTGAGAGCTAACAGATGTCACAGAAAATGAGGAAAAGTTAACCTAGACCTCCCGAGAAGAGCAGGAAGCACTGCACACTTGGGCCTGACCTCGATTTACCACAGATGTGACTTAGCGACCATGCCAGTGCGTGCTTCTCTGAGTATATGTGCTGCTTTTTGTAGTACCAGCTGACTTCATCCTTTACAGATTTTTTTTTTTAATCCAACTGTTCTCTTACCCAATAGCTTCTGCATTCTTATAACTTTGGCTTGCTCAAAATTCTCTTTTGAGAGCTCAGTGAAGAAACTTACCTAACACCCGAATCAGGCCTCTTCAGTTTCCAAAGTAACACACTTACAAAGAAGCAACTAAGGGTGTCACTCATCCTCACAGCCTTCCCACAGCCTCTTCCAAGGCCTCATCTCTGCCCATGGTATTAACTTCGGCTCTAGGTGTTCATTGTCTGGTTCTTCTACCTTATCCCCTTCAAGCTCCTCAGAGGGAGCACAGGACTGCCTTAGCCTGTCCTGTTGGAAGAGCCGTGGCCAGTCTGAGGTCAGTGCTTCAAAGAGTGTGAGCGTTTGGTGTGTGTGTGTGTGTGTGTGTATAAAATAGCCTTTGGTGTGTGTCTGTGTGTGTGTGTGTATAAAATAGCATTTGGAGTGTGTGTATAAAATAGCGTTTGGAGAGTGTGTGTGTGTGTGTGTGTGTGTATAAAATAGCGTTTGGAGTGTGTGTATAAAATAGCATTTGGAGAGTGTGTGTGTGTATAAAATAGCGTTTGGAGTGTGTGTGTATATATAATAGGACTGTTCCTTTAGTAGAGGCTATATGCAGGACAAATTCCTTAGAAAGGACTCAAAGTATGATAAGAATCCTAACTTCCAATGAAACTATGTTTATTCATCTAGACAAAGACATCATTTACTGCCTTGACCCAAAAGGTGTTTTAAAAATGACAGAGTGAAAAGTTATGACTCAGAGTACCCCATCTATATTATTTATAAAGATAAATTTGAATCAAAATATTTATTTTACGTGTAATCTTACATGACAATTTATATTACATGATAATTTTATTTGTCATTTGCAGTTTAAAATTAATCATCCTGAGAGTGAAGACCTTTCCTTTCTGTACGGAACTATATTAACAGATGGAAAAGACACTTATAGTGAGGAGCCAACCGCCAACATCTGCGTGTTTGCAGATGAACAGGTATTAAAACTGTAACGTTTGGCACAAAAGCCAGACAGTATGGAACTGGAACACGGTGAACACTCTTATCTTCATTTACTCTGGAACAGGTGGACAGAAGTCCTACTGGCTCAGGAGTGACGGCCCGAATTGCCTTACAGTACCACAAAGGGCTTCTAGAACTGAACCAGACCAGAACCTTTAAAAGCAGTGCAACTGGCTCAGTATTCATGGGGAAGGCTGTGAGGGTGAGTGACACTGTTAGCGTTCTCTTTGTAAGTCTGTTACTTTGGAAACTGAAGAGGCCTGAGCTGAAGGTTGGGTAAGTTTCTTCACTCAGCTCTCGAAAGAGAATTTTAAAGCAGGCCTGTAAAAACTTCTGTTCAGCTAGGATATCGTTTCTCAAAGTGTGGTTTGGAACCCCTGGGGGTCCCCAAGTTCCTTTCCAAGGGTCCACAAGGTTAAAACTTAGTATGCATTAACATTAAGATATTATTTGCTTTTCACTTTTATTGTCTCACGAGTGTACCATGGACTCTCTAGAGGCTACGCGATAGGTGATAAGCCAACAGACTGAATGCAGAAGCAGATACGAGAATCTAGCTGTCTTCTGTAAAACCAAATATTAAGGAGGTCTGCAAAAATGTAAAACACATGCCCTTTTCCTCATTAAAATTGTTTTGTTTTGGCAAATTCAGTTATTTTCCCAAAATATGTTGTTTGGGTTAACATATAATGGGTTTATTATTTTTTACTTTTATTATTTTTTTTTTAAAAAGAATTTATTTATATGACAGAGAGAGAGACAGCAAGAGAGGGAACACAAGCAGGGGGAGCGGGAGAGGGAGAAGCAGGGTTCCCACTGAGCCGGGAGCCCGATGCGGGGCTTGATTCCAGGACCCTGGGATCATGACCTGAGCCGAAGGCAGATGCTTAACGACTAAGCCACCCAGGCGCCCCTAGTTTATTATTTTTTAATGGATTAATGAACAAATACCTTTAATTCCCAATATAGTAAATATTAATAGATATAACCTACATAAACAAAAACTTTTGGTGCTCAAATCTTTTTATTTTTATTTATTTATTTGCTAGGGAGAGTGAGAGAGAGAGCACAAGCTAGGGGGGAGAGGCAGAGGGAGAAGCAGGTTCCCCGCAGAGCAGGGAGCCCGATGCGGGACTCGATCCCAGGTCCCTGGGATTATGACCTGAGCTGAAGGCAAATGCTTAATCAACTGAGCCACCCAGGAGCCCTTAGATGCTCAAATCTTAAGGCATAAAGGAGTCCTGAAACCAAAAATGTCGAGAGCCACTAACTTAGGGTTTGGATTTTTTTTGTTTTTATTCTATAGGAGAGTTTCATTTTTTATAATAGGATGTGAAAGTCCTGAAAAGTTGTGAAAAATAAAACTTTTGTAATAGAATCAAGTTTTAAATTTCTGTGCTAACAGAAATAAATAGTAAATTCTATTTACTAATAAATAGTAGTAAATGAAATCTACACTAAGTAAATTTAGTGAATGAATTTAGCAGATACATTTACTAAATGAATCTATTCATAGAGTCCTTTAACAAAACAAAAAAAATCTATCCTAATATAGACTTTTATACCCTAATATAGCTTGAAGTTTGGTTTTTCTGAATATTGAATTTTCTTTTAAGTTAGGGATTCTTATTTAATATAGTGATCTTATGAGATACCAAACCATTTATGTCATATGTAAAAATTTGGAACACATTGTCTTCAAGTCTGAGATTGAAGATAAAATAATCTACATTTATTGGGTGCTTCACTGTATAGTTCCAAGCTAAGTACTTTATACATACCTTCTCGGGGCACCTGGGTAGCTCAGTCAGTTAAGTGTCCAACTCTTGATTTCAGCTCAGGTCATGATCTCAGGGTTGTGAGACTGAGCCCCACATTGGGCTCTGAGTTGGGCATGGAGCCTACTTAAGATTCCCTTTCTCCCTCACCCTCTCCCTCTGTGTGTGTGTCTCTGTTTCTAAAATAAATAAATAAATACAGTAAAATAAAATAAATATATACATACCATTTTAATCCTCATAAGAATCTTGGCAGGTCAGCCCTGTTATTATCCTTTTTAAACAGATGATAAAATGGGGAATTAGGAGTTTAGGTAATTTGCCAGAGGTCCAACAGTTAGTGAGTATCAGAGCCAGACTCTGAATGTGGACCTCTCTGTGTAGACCCTACATTGTTAAGCACTACTATATTGTTATTAGACAAAGCAAGTTTTCAATGAAGCTTTTATTATAGCAGCTTTATAAAAAGATAATGAAATTACTGTATCCTAATCTAATAACTGATATCTTATCATAAGATTTAGTTATTCTCATGTTTAAAAAATTAGGAAATAAGGGGCACCTGGGTGGCTCGGTTGGCTGAGTGTCCAACTCTTGGTTTCGGCTCAGTCAGAATCTTGGGGTTCCGAGATCAAGCACTGCCCACCTATGCTCCATGCCCAGCAGGGAGTCTGCTTCTCTCCCTCTCTGTCTGCCCCTCCCCATTCATGCTCGCGCGCACGTGGGCGCGCAGTCTCTCTTTCTCTAACAGATAAATACATCTTAAAAAAATTAAGAAATAGGGGCCCCTGGGTGGCTCAGTCGTTAAGCGTCTGCCTTCGGCTCAGGTCATGATCCCAGCGTCCTGGGATCGAGCCCCGCATCCGGCTCCCTGCTCGGTGGGAAGCCTGCTTCTCCCTCTCCCACTCCCCCTGCTTGTGTTCCCTCTCTCGCTGTCTCTCTCTCTGTCAAATAAATAAATAAAATATTTTTAAAAATTTAAGAAATAAAAAGGATACTCTGTAGTTAAGATTTGGAGTTATTTCTTTTATAGTTAATAATCATACTTGACAGAACATCTTTACTCTCACCACACACCTTCCCTCTCTGTCTGGACTCCTCCAAGCTCTCGGATGGTACCGTCTCGGTCTCTTTCACTTCCACGTACGGGTCTCCAGCATTTCATCCTTAGTTTCCTTCTCTCTCTCTCTCTTTTTTTTTTTAAAGATTTTATTTATTTATTTCACAGAGAGAGATAGCGAGAGAGGGAACACAAGCAGGGGGAGTGGGAGAGGGAGAAGCAGGCTTCCCACTGAGTAGGGAGCCCGACGCGGGGCTCGATCCCAGGACCGGGGGATCATGACCTGAGCCGAAGGCAGATGCTTAACGACTGAGCCACCCAGGCGCCCCTTTAGTTTCCTTCTCATCTCTTCTACATTTTGATGCCATGGGGCAATTTCACCAACTTTTGAGACTTCAACTCCCAGCCACCCACTGATGATGACTCCTGAACCTTCATCCCTCCCATGCCTACTGTGTGTGCCTCTCTCCTGAGTCTAACACTCGTACTCCCAATGTCTACCAAACTCATCTTGAAATGACTGTCTCAGACATGTATCATCTCGTTAAAAAGCTCTTCCTTCCTCCCTAAATGTGCTCCTCCCATCTCATTCCCTATCTTGGTTAATGGGAGCCCCTGCTTTGCTCCCCAACTAGGAATGATGCTCACATTGAACTCATTCCTACTCCTCACCTCCCACATACATCGGTCCCCAGGCCTGCCAATTCTATCTGCAAAGTATGTCTGTTATGTTCTTCTCCATCCTCCCTAAAAACTGCCCTAGTGACTCTAGAGTTCATCAATGAATGAAGGTTACCTCTAAAGAAGTTTCTAGGTTTCTAGTTGCTTTCCTCTCTGACTTGTCCTCATTTTACAGCTAAAGTTACCTAAAACACAAATCTGATCATGTCACTCTCCTTAAAAACCTTCCATTACCTACAAGATTAAGCCTTGGGTTTTCTTTAAAAGGATAAAAATCAAGTGCTCGCTTCGGCAGCACATACACTAAAAGGATAAAAATCAAGACTATGACTCTAGGCCAGACACAACATAAGTGCAGTATTTTGATATTATATTCCTTTCATCTTTTCTCAGGAAGCAAAATGTGGGGATTTTAAAGCTGTTATAGTGGAAGTGTCTGGACAAGCCCATTACACAGGTACAGCAAGTTTTATAGTGGAAGATGACGACCCACTGAAGGATGGATTCCTTCTCAAGTGACTTCAGTACTTGTCAGGGCTTTCTCTGAATTATGTGGAAAATGATATCTAAATTGTACAACTTCCTTTCTTTCTAAAGTAGTATGCTGTAACTAAATATAATCATTATACTTTATATTTACACATGTAATTGGTATAAATGTCACTGATGTCTAACTTACAAAATGCTGAAAATTCAGAATATTTTTCTAGTTATTAACATATCAGGTAAAATTAATATCTTAGTCCTGTTACTTTTAAAATGTTACTCTATGCTACTTACTGTAATATTTTGTTTTAGATGCTCTTTGAATAATAGCTTCAATTGTAGCCCTCACAACAATGACTCTTACAAGTTCATTATTTTAGTCTTCCAGTTTTTGAGTAAGATAATGTCCTCTCTCTGAGCAGGATGTAAGGGAGATGGATTATTATAAGGTACTAAACACTTAGCCTACATAGCCTGGGAAGGACTGGGGTGGGTCAGCTTCTTGGAACAGATGTTATAGCTGTTACCAGGATGTTCTCTGTGCTGCAAAGTCCAGCTGCTACTCCAAGGTAACTGAAGTGCCATAAGCTGATGTGAGAAAACCAATGAATAATCAGACTTCTGTTACATCTTTAAGGCGTTTATAAAAGGGATTGTTGACTGCATTATAAACACAGTGGAAATCAATGAATTACTAGAGTAGGGTGAGTCTCCTGCACTACCAACTACATGCCAGGTAGATTTAAAGCCCGAAAGAAATGTTAACTATTAATTCTTGCTACTTAATTATCTGTGAACCTGTTAAAAATAGAATTTGGTTGGGGCACCTGGGTCGCTCAGTTGGTTAAGTGTCTGATTCTTGGTTTTGGCTCAGGTCATGATCTCATGGTCGTGAGATCGAGCCCTGAGTCAGGCTCATCGTGGAGTCTGCTTGAGATTCTTTCTCCCTCTTCGCTCTTCCCTGCCCTGTGCTCTCTCTTGCGCTCTCTTCCCTAAAATAAATAAATGAAATCTTTGAAAATAAATAAATAAAATAAAATTTGATCATTTTTCAGTCACTATAAAATGAGGTATTAAAAAGTTATTCAATATGTGATGCTCTCAATAGTCAGTAGACTCTTGTGAAATTTTTTTTTCTGAGCATACAGAAACTGAAGTAATTAATTTTAACTCATTTTGTCATCTGGTTCTTAAGTCTGTGATTGAATTACCAGACCAAAATGAAAGATTTATAGCTTTATAACTTTATAGTTAATGTTCTTGATTTTCCTATTATACAAAAACTAATGTTTTCCACTCATTTTCTATAAAATTCTGTGGTAAAGAAATCACTTACCTTCAAAAAAAATGAAACTATCACTAGCTTACTATGACAAGAAATTTTCTACACATTGGAGAGATTTGCTGTGCTTTCTTTTTAAAATGAAAATAGAGGGGTACCTGGGTGTCTCAGTTAAGCATCTGCCTTTGGCTCAGGTCATGATCCTAGGGTCCTGGGATGGAGCCCTGCATCAGGCTCTCGCCTCAGTGGAGAACCTGCTTCTCCCTCTCCCACTCTCCCTGCTTGTGCTCCCTCTCTCGCTGTCAAATAAATAAATAAAATCTTTTTAAATAAATTAATTAAATGAGAATAGAACTACTATTTTCTCACCAAATTTCACAAGTCATATTAACTTATCTACATTAAAAAGTAGGCATTGCCTATATCTTCCTAAATTCTAATCCAAACCAGAGCCAAACCCTTGCAGTAATATTCACCCCTTCTGTACTTCACCGCCTCTCCTGGAGTCAACACTAGGGAAATTAACTACCCCCCCCACCTCCATGTGTCTAACCAGTCACAAAGCCCCACTGAGTCTACCTTCTAAATATTGCTCACAACTATCCCTTGCCATCCTTGGTAAGAGTTTTGCCTCGTTAATTAACCTCTTTCAAGCCAACCTCCTTTCCCTCACTGATCTCTTAGCTCTAGATACTTAAATGCGCTCATCATAAACAAAATGACGCAAACATCCTCTGTCTGCCTTCCTTCTCTAGCTTGCTGTCACCCCTGTTTCCTTCCCTTTGTAGTCAAATTTCTACATTCCTGACTCTCTGTTCATTGGGTACATTTTCTCGTCTTCCCATTTGTTATTTGACTATTGTCATTTGGTTTCTACCTCATTATTTGTTGGAAATTATGCTTGATCTAACAGCCCCCTGAGGGTTTATGCAATCCACGGTGGATGCTGCTGCGGACTCCTGGCAGCCAAGTGTGGTTCATGTTAGAGCAAGTATCTACATGCCCTTGGTGCTGGGTCAGCCATAGAGACACTCACAGAAGCTCTCAAGGTCACGAGGTTAGTACTCAGTCCCCATTAGTACCCACCAGTGCTGCAATTGTGTGGGCCCAGGGCCATCTCCTCTTCACCATGAAGTTGCAATGAGTTTGGCTCCAAGTCCTCTAGACTCCAAAAGAGTTGGGGCACCCTTCTCTTCAACTCCTAAAACCCACAAATTCCATACCATCCCTCTTTAGGACAATGTTTCTCATATGTGTGGGTATGAATACCTGGGGATCTTAAACTGCAGATTCTCATTTATTAGGTATGGGGTGGGGCAGTTCTAGCAAGCTCCCAGGTGATGCTGATGTTACTAGTAGGACTGCATTTGAGTAGCAAAACTTTCTAAACAATCTATTTTAGTTACCCATTTGGGTTCAGGCTTTACAGGTGAGTCATCTCCTTTTAGCTCTAAAATACATAAGGAGCCTGTGAGCTCTCAGCCGCGAGGTGACCTCATGGTCACAGCAACTTTCCTTCTTCAGAAGAGGCTGAGGAAATTACCTTACTTTGAAAAGCAAAACAAAATGAAAACCAAAAACACAAGACCGCTGACTTCTCAAATGGCCAGTGTGCCTCATTAAATATGTCACTCTAACCTGCCTGGCTTTTTTCCCTTTACCTGCTTAATTTTTTCTACTCCCTAGCATTCCACCCGTGGTTCTTCTCTCTCTTCACTCAATACCCCTCCCTAGTCATCACATTCATGCTCATGCTTTTCTCTCTTGTAGAGAGAGGCTGAAAACTTCCAAATCCCTAAATCCTAAGGTTCAGAGCCATACTGCAGGTCCACTACTTGGTGGGCAAGTCAAACTCATCCGCCCCCTAGAATACTCCTGTATTCTCTAACCTGATGAATGGTACCACCATCCTGCAAGGTGGGAACTTGTGATTTATCCTTGGCTTCTTGTTCATGCCCTTTCATCTCATCTGTTGATGCTTCTGAGGTGGATGTCTGTGGATTCGGCTGGCATCATTCCTTTCTCCTTCCTTTATCAACAACACTCACCTTTTCCTGTGGAAAACTATCCATCCCCTGCATGCAGCCTTGCTGGGACTGCCAGACTCTCTCTCCCTGGACCTGGGATCTTGAGAGAAATGACATAAGGTCTGAAAAATGGCTGAAGTGGACTTACTCCACTAGCGCTTTAAAGAGATCACCCTCCATTTGTTTCTGCCTCTCGACCTGCTATCTCTGCCCTGACTTCTCTTGTTCTTGGGGCTAGCTGTTAGATTATCCTTTTGTAATGCGAGCTCCCCCTATCCCTCCAATAAATCCCTTTTTTGCTTAAGTGAGACAGGATATTGTTTATATCCAAAGACCCCAGTCCATATATTACCTCCTTAAAATCTCTTCTTCTTCACTAAGCCTTAATTCAGACTCTTCATTTCTCCTCTGGGCTATTACAATGCCTTTTCTTAACTGGTCTCCTGGTTGCCAGAGTCTCCTCCCACGGTCATTCAAAAATAGGTTTTGTGTATCGAAAACTGCTAAGTGTTAAGGATCTAGTAACATGCCAACCAGACAAAGTTCTGGTCTTCACAAAGCCTATAGTCTACAGTGAGAGGTAGGTAATGATTCATCACAAAAATGTAATTATAGACAGTGCTGATGTGCTACAAGCCGAGGAAGGCTTCCTCTAAGAGATTATCATTCATGTGGAGACAGGAATGCAAGGGAATGCAGGGGAGGCGGGGGAATGGAGCTCTCTAGGCAGATGGGACAGCAAGTGCAAATGCCCTATGAGGGGCGGTTTAAAAAACTCACGAAAGGCCAGTGTGACTAGACTGGGGCAAAAAGAAGGAACGGGGCCCCAAATGAGACCAGAAAGGAAGCAGATGTCAGCTCACGCAGTGCCTTGTAGGAAATATTAAGGATTGGGGTCCTTATCCTAAGTTAAAAGGAGAAAGTCATTAGAGGGGTTTAAGTAAGTGACTGGCATGACCAAATTTATTTGGTTGAAAGGCATTCTGCTGAGAGTGTAGAGTAGGGGCTGGATGCGGGGAGACCAGTTCAGAGTGGTAGCAGTAGTTTAAAGAAGAGAGGGTGAGAGCTAAGAGATTCAGGTGGAGGGTGAAGGGAGGGAGGAAGTGAATGGGTAGAAAGATACTTAACAAGTAAAATCCCTAAATCTTGGTGAAAAATTGGACATGGGCTGGTGGTGAGGAAGAGGAATTAATCTAGAAAGAAGCCTAAGTTTTCGCCTTATAAGCTAGATGGAAGATAGTGCCATTTTCTGAGATACAAACGGTTGAGGACCAAGGGTTTTAAGAATAGTGGATCATGAATTCCCGTTTTGGTCATGTTGAGTTTGAGCTGCTTTTGCACATTCAGGGGAGATGCCAAGTAACAAGCAATAGGGCTTGAGGCTAGAGATATAATATGGAGTCATGAATATATAGTTTTCAAAGCTCTGGGTGTGAGTGAGATGAGGGAGGAAGTTCAGAGCTGCTGAGGACCAGGCCTCGATGGACTCTAGCATTTAGAGGCAGATGATGGGGGTGAACATGCAGGGGACACTGAGGCAAACAAGGCAGGCAGAAAACCAGGAGAGTGTGAGGTCACTCTTCTCTTCCTGAACCATACCTGATCGCTGCCTTCCCATGCTTCAACTCCTTCAATGACTAGTGCCATTACCCCATCTGCCCCTGATGCAGTTCAATCTCTGTAACATGGCATGTGAGGCCTTCATAAGAGCACCCCAGTCAACTTTTATCATTTATTTCTCTCTTCACTCCCTAACCTCACTCACCAGTACCCAAGAGTCAAGGACTTAGGCACTGACCTTCAGACTTTGCACAGGAATCAGATGTCCTTCCCTGTCTTCTCTTTTTGGAGAGTCCAATGTCACCGCTTGCGTGAAGTCTTCATCAGCTACCCTAGGAAGAGTCAGTCACCCCTATAGAATCTCATTATATTTTTAAACAACACTTATGATATTGTCCTATATTTGTGTTTGCCTAAAACTGTAAGCTTCTTTGGGCTGAGATCCTTATTTGTTATCTCTGAAAACCTAGCACAGAGATTTGCTAAATAAATTCATCTATTTTTGTCTTAATTCAGTGGTTCTCAGTTGTGGTCATCCTGCCTCCCTCCAGGGACATTTTTAGTTGTCACTAGCTGGCATGTTGTCGTTAGAGGCTAGAGATACTGCTAAACATCTAATAATGCATTCCTATAATGCATTAATTTACCACCTTAAATAAACTTCTATTTATACTGCAAATTTCCAGTAAGATATTTTTCCTCACTGAAATAAGCATCCAAAGCACTAGTATCAGTGGTTCTAAGATCTGCAAGTATACTGGTCATTCTTTAGAGCAGTGTTTCTCAAACTATACTGTGCATCAGAATCACTTGCAGGGTGTGTGGCTGGGCCCCACCCCTAGATTTCAGATTCAGTAGATTTGGGGTCGGGCCTGAGAATCTGCATTTCTAACAAGGTCCCAGGTAATGCTAATGCTGCTGGTGTAGGGTCCACACTTTGAAAACCG